TTGGGGTTTTCCAATTGGAGGTGTTTATGTTTTTGTAGTGAAGCAAGTTGGCCGATGACGATGGTGCAAGTTGGGCGGGTTTTGTGATAGGCTGGATTGTGGGGATTGGGGGTGCTGGTAATGCCTGGAATAGCTCCTGCTCTGGGAAGGGGAGACGCGCTGCTAGCTCATTGGGCAAGGAGGGGATGATCTGATCCTGTCAAACCAGGTACCTAGACAACTTTTGATCGGGGGAGGGAGCTTTTGCTTCCTCCGGTCCGTCCTTCTTCACCCGAGTAGGGGGTTACGAGGATGTGATGCGTCATACCCAGCATCAGCGAGGTATATCGTTAACATGGACCGGCCGGCATTTCTCGGGTTCGGTGGATTACGTTGACTAAGGTGAGCAGACACAAACAAGCTACCACACTGAGGTTACCTGGACTGCCTGGATAGGTTTTCCTCAGGCCACTCGGTGATGGTCACCTGCTTGCGGCCAAATCGCGTTGACTCAGCGAGCTGTGCGCAACATGGCTAGATGGAGCTGTGATGCAATTGTGAGCATCCGCATAATCCCGTCCCGACCAACACGTGACAGGATATTCTGCTTCCATATCCTGGGCACCTTTGAGGAGGGGAGATGCTATTCGTACGCTGGGATTGAACCGCGAAAGATTCTCTCCTACTGAGGGCGGCGAATTGCGTAGTGTTTTGCCCGGTGTGCCGGTGTTGTTGCTCCGAAACGGCTTATGCATAAAATGGGGACACGCATATCTCCATGATCTATCCCGATGATTGTCGTAGGTATTACTCCGTATTCGTAGTCCACTGCGGGTTACATTCTCCAGGTAAGCACGTAGCCTTATCTGCCCTTGCTGTTATCTCCGGCAAGGCTGAATCTCCTTTCGCGACTAGGATGGCCCCCGGGACTGCGAGAGAGAGATGCGGGAGATCTGTCGCTTCAAAGGCGACCGATGGGGTGCCGGTGGTGTGTAGTCATTGTGGTGCGACGTCTTTCGCCTTTGTCTCGCAACCCGAGGAGGTACTTTTTTAGTGGAGAGGAGGCATCTGCCGTCTCCAGTGTACAGACTGCAGAGTACCTACTTACGCCGCGTGTAAGTGCTGCCTTGGCCAAACCTGAGATGGCTTCATGGCTTCAGACTACTAGCGACGGAGAGGAAAGGCCGGTTCTCTTTCTTCCCAACTCTCCTGCCATCCCCTCCTGCCAAGACAGGCAACGGCAGCCGAGGAAACACACCTTCTTAGTTCAAGGGGTCCCGGCTACGAACAGCAGTATGCAATCTATCTTGACGTGAGGTAAGATGCTTTTTGCTTTGAAAGACCTTGGGTCAGGCAGGGCAGTCTAATGCGACCAAAGAACGGAACAAGTGCCTGAACTCAAAGGATGAATGGGCGCACGGTGGCCGCTCGGCGATTGCATGAAAAGAAGAGACGAAGTGGGATGAGAGAAGACGGGAAGAGGGGTCTGGCCTCGCATCATCTTGTAGCTTGTATGATTTGGAGTGAGCATGTATATTGCCCAGTTGCTCTGAACTCTGAATCTGGGAGCAGAGTTTGGCCATGAAAAGCGAAGCAGCAACAAACGTCGTAGTAACGTAATCTGGGCGTGGCAAGGTCGAAGCTGGACAACAGTAGCGAGTTGGTATCTGAAGTTGTCTTCTCCGAGGCCTTGGATTGGTGCCAGGTTGTCCATAGCGTGATATACTATCGATATAGTGGGTGTCTTGGTCATATCCGTACCTGAATTCAAGGCCATCCACGAGCAACGAGGGTAAGACCATGTCGAGTGAGATGCCCTGGGGAAAGAGCACGGCACCGAGGAATTGGACCCGAAGAAAGGAAGCGGAAAGAGGCATGAGATGTACCTTTGGGGATCCCCCACTTTCTGTCGCAGAGTCAGGTTGGCAACGTACCTTAATGTAAGGCAGGAGAAGAAGGCACGGGAGTTTGCATAGGCATTGAGGATGCGTGGGATGGTAAGGTACGTTTGGAGAGACTTTGGGGACTCTCGAGGGGTACCTCTCAGCCGCAGAGCACAGCCGCAAATACCGGAATGATTCACGTGAGCCGGCCATTCCAGGGCTAGCACGCCGCAGATGGGGATTGGTTGAGACGCCCCTCGATGCTGACTGGCCAGAGCGTGGCTCACCAGCCCGGTGTGTCCCTGCTCATGGAACCTGGCACTGGGCAGGAAGTCAACCACTCAAGTCGGGTCCCGTCCAGTCCAGTCGGTGCGGCAGCAGCCCACCCCCCCTCCCCTCCTACCTGCCTGAACTTACGTCTACCTACCGCCCCGGCGTGTTCCCCCCCCCCCCCCAGTCAGTCCAGTCGCCTTGCCTTGTCTTGCCTGGGCCACCTCACGTATTGTGCAGCCCAGAGCCCCTTCCTCAATTTCAATCCGTCACCTTTTCGTCTCATCCATTTCTCAACTTCACAAAACTCTCGCACTACCTTTGCAAAACCGCCCACACCCGCCTCTATTTACCTTCGTCACGCTCCCTTCCCCTGTTCCGATCCAACTCGAGTCTTGACACGGGAATCTTCCATTGACAACTTATCCATCGTTCCACCGAACATCCCCGCCAACCTCAAAACATCGCACCAAGGTACGTGGTCCCCTCCCCCATCCCCCCCGTGCCCCCTCTGTCGTCATCGCATGCCTCGCCGCAATCTCCTTCCACCGATTCCCAACAACCGCCTCTTGCCGACTTGCGTCGACCGCTTCACGAAGCTGCCATCCGCTCCTCTTTCTGCATCGATTGAGACCTTCACCGACACTGCGCGCCCTATCTTGATCGGTCAGGCGCAAAACCCCACCAGGAGCGGGGGGCCGAAGCCAAGTCATGAAGTCAGCGAGGCGCATACGCCGCAACTCGTCCGTCTCCCGTTGAATTCACCCCGTCGCTCTTCCGAAATCAATTTGCGCCTCCATTCGCCGACTTGTCCAAATCTCACATTCACAATACACTTGGAACGCAGTTTTGGCTCCGTCTCCTGACACACGTGCTAACCAATCCTGACGTTCCAGATACCAACCGCCACAATGGGTCAGGATGATGCTGTGTACTTGGCCAAGCTTGCTGAGCAGGCTGAGCGCTACGAGGGTATGTGGCCGTTGCCCATCGAAAACGATGGATTATACTGATGATTGGGCTTCCAGAGATGGTCGAGAACATGAAGATCGTCGCCTCTGAGGACCGTGACCTCACCGTCGAGGAGCGCAACCTCCTGTCTGTTGCCTACAAGAACGTCATCGGTGCCCGCCGTGCCTCGTGGAGAATCGTCACCTCCATCGAGCAGAAGGAGGAGTCCAAGGGCAACTCTTCCCAGGTTGGCCTTATCAAGGAGTACCGCCAGAAGATCGAGGCCGAGCTTGCCAAGATCTGCGACGACATTCTCGATGTCCTCGATGCCCACCTCATCCCTTCTGCCAAGTCTGGCGAGTCCAAGGTCTTCTACCACAAGATGTAAGGATTCGCGTCTTCCTCGGAATCGAACGCTGTGCTGACAATTCCTATAGGAAGGGTGACTACCACCGCTACCTTGCCGAGTTCGCCGTTGGCGATCGCCGCAAGGACTCTGCCGACAAGTCCCTCGAGGCTTACAAGGCTGCCACCGAGGTTGCCCAGACCGAGCTTCCCCCCACTCACCCCATCCGCCTCGGCCTCGCCCTCAACTTCTCCGTCTTCTATTACGAGATCCTCAACGCCCCCGACCAGGCTTGCCACCTTGCCAAGCAGGCTTTCGATGATGCCATTGCCGGTGTGTACCGTCCCTCTCGAAGCAAGTGCAACTCACTGACAACTCCTCTACAGAGCTTGACACCCTTAGCGAGGAGTCTTACAAGGATTCTACCCTCATCATGCAGCTTCTCCGCGACAATCTGGTAAGATGACCCGGCCAGCGATTCAAAAGACTTTATGCTGACAACGACATACAGACCCTCTGGACCTCTTCTGAGGCTGAGCCCGCGGCGTCAGGCACTGCCGAGGCCCCAGCCGCCGCCAAGGAGGAGGGTGCCTCCGCCGAGGCGCCGGCCGCTGCTGCCTCTGAGGAGCCCAAGGCTGAGTAAGGTGTGATTGGTCTCGTAGCATTCTGCAACCTGCGTTCATCGCCGGATTTGGGTGGACTGGTGTCTACGGAGTGTGGACTGGAGATTTCGTTTTTGCGAATCGGCATCGTTTAGGCAATACACACAAGAATTGTGAAGGGGTTGATTTTTCCTAGCACGGGGCTGGCTGGGGGCTAAAGAAGAGCATTTTGGAGGTTGATTCCACGTTTGCTTTTTTAGACTCTAATGCAAGGCCGTCTGGACAACAACAAAAAAAGACTAAAATTGCTTTCAAAGAAGCACATCCGGCAAACCAGTTCTGAAAATCGTATGACAACTGTTTGGTACTACCACCAACTTTGACCTAGTGATGGTGGAAGTTTGTTGAAAAGTGTTCTGTAATATTGGATACTGCTCACTTGGGTTGACAGAGGTGAACTGTGATAAGTCGATAGCTTCGAAGTAAAGTGAGATGTAGATGGGCAAATTTGAGAAGTCAACTCTAGCATAGATGGCCGCTCAACAGGTTGAAGAGTAGGTTAGAGACTATTAAAAGACTAATATACAAGCCAAACTCATGGGATTGGCTGGAGAGATCACTGCCACTAACATAAAGACCGGACCGTGGAGGATGGTGATCTGTTAGGGAGAGGCTTCTAAATACCCGAGATTTGAAGTAGAAAGACACTACCTACGGAGCTGAGTTTGGCTAAGAGGAAGGTCCTCATCATGGCACGGCGAGACTCGTGTGATGTGAAGGTGCGTGAGGTAATTGTGAGGCTCACATGAGGGATCGATTCGGTCGACACTTTACTCATTTAAAGCTAGGAGTGAACGAGACAATAGCATTGCCACATTATCAACCCAACGAATAGGGACTCATAGGCCTCTTTTCAAATTTGTTTTGTGTTTCATTTTGATCTTCGTCTGAAAACTTCTTCCCACATTATCAATCATCCGAGACCACGGCAAAGTGAACCTTCATCCAAAGACTACAATCCTGACAGCCGACGAGTAGCTCTCCGTTCTCACCCGCCTCCTCCAGGTCCGCCTCCGTGAAGAGGAAGCCGCGCGGGTTGCCGCACCGGCAGCTGCGGTACCAACAGCACTCAGCGGCTTCGGGGTCTTCTGAGGAAGGTTCTTCGACTTCCAGGTCGTCGAGGTCGACGACTTCGATGCCCGTCTGAAAGGACTTTTCTTCGTCACCGTCGCCGCGCTGGAGGCCTTGGTTGTTTGGTGCCAGGTCCAGGGCGCGGTCGTATTCTGCCCTCTGCCTTGGGTCTGAGAGGACTTTGTAGGCTGATGAGATTTGGTCGATTGAAAAGGTGGCGGCAGAAGAAGAAGAAGAAGAGTGAGATGGTGCTCGGGTGCTGGTGGTGGCAGGATTGTTCTTGAGCTGTGGGTATTTGTCCGGGTGGTTTTGGAGGAGGGCGCGGTGGTAGGCCCGTTTAATGATTTGATGCGGCCCTGCCGTGGTTGACTGTTCTTGGACGAGTTTGCGACTTATACCCAGGATCGTGTAGTGGGTGTGCCCTTGTCCCGGAGCCGTGGATGAAGAATTCATTTTGGACCAGAAAAGGGGGAGGCGGTAAAGCGGCGGCGGCGGCGGACAGGGCCGCTTTGGATTGCGGGCTGTCGTTTGGGATTGTAAGTAAAAATTTCCCTGGCGAATTGGAGTTTTCGGGAAGCTTGTTTCTGCGGGGATCACGTGAGTGGTTTGTGGTTGAGGGATTGACTGGAAATTGAACTTCCGAGATCGCCTTCCAAGACGTGACCAGTAAAGAATATTTCCGTGTCGAGTTGTCCTAGAAATTCTTGTCAATATGCACCAACATATGAGAATGTGGTGGAGGAGTTATCATGTCGCTCTCGTCGCCCCGACTTGGGGAAAACCCCAACACATCACCAGGGGCCATTCAGACCGCGGGAGTTGGTCGAGTTCGTTTCTTATACATGATAATACATGGTATATGTACATCGTCTATGGTATTGACGCAGCGCAAGGGAATAGTCCGAATAGAGCGCTTATTTGGGGAATCTTGTCCAGTTCTTCTTTCCAACCTAGTGCAACTTTGTAAATATACCACGTCTAGAAACACTTGATGTTGTACGCTTACCTTCTTCCACTCCTTGATGAGCTTCGGCATCGCCAATACGGCTGCTCTCCTCTTCTCCATTCTGCAAGCGCAAGGTTAGCATTTCTTTCTTTCTGATTTGACCAAAAGTCCAAGAGCCCAAAAAGGTTTCCTCGACTGCGAAATATAAGGGTAAGGGACCATACCTGGGCTGGACCATCCTCTCGTGAATCTTTCCCTTGACCTTTTGTCCGACACCGGTACCCTTGACCCTCAATCCGTGCTCGACACGGTGCGCGATCCTGTACTCGGTGCCCTTGACCGTCGCGGGCAGCAGCTCCTCGACGCCGTGCTGGCGCGCGAGCTTGACGATCTCGGCCTGGCGGCGCATGGAGTAGACGGGGTCGTGCCACTTGCCCGTGACGGCGTGCTTCTGCGACTTGAAGGGATTCGGGGTGATCTCCTGGAAGCCTGTCTTGGGCGTCGTCGCCGCCGTGTTGTGAGGCAGGATGGCGGCGGGCGGCCAGCGGGCGAAGAAGCGCTGGAGTTGTGCAGGCAGCGTCTTGGCCAGCTGGATGTATTGCTCGGCGGCGGCCATTGTGGGTGGTTCGTTCGTTCAGTACGCTACTTTTGTTATGTCCTCCGATGCAAGCGCTGTGGCATTGCCAGATCGTTGTCGTGAACGGGAGAGGAGGGTTTCGTCGGTCGATTTCTCTTCGCCGGTCGTTCGGGGATGCTCTCAATCGATACGCTGGACAAATTTGGGAGCGACCAGCCTTATCCACCCCTGTAGGTGCATACTACTGACAGGGATGGGAGCTCAGAGCTTGGGAAAGAATTGCCGGAAAGTTTGCGATGTGATTGGGTCGCATTTGTGTGGCGCCTTCTAACTTGTGGCGCAAATCGCAGCCTTCTCTTGAGGTATCTGAAATAAATCGTCCATCTTCAACTTCTGGAATACAAAGTCACCAGACGCCACCCGAACTCCCAGGTACTCGAAGACTTCGCAGGGGATAAATTCAGAGTTCTTCACTTGATATATTCACAGTGGTTAGTGGAACCATAGACCTCGCAGCAACGGAATATCCTCGGTTTCGGCATCTACCTGACACGCATCGCCATACGATTACTAGGTAGGCGATCGCAAAGAAGATCTCTGCCGGCAGCATCCTCTTTTTCGTCTGCTCGTCACAACACCACAAACACCCCGAGCATGAGCGCCAACCGAGCGAAGAAGGTTCCTTTGGACCTCGAAGAAATTCTCAAGAAGAAGAAGGCCGCCGACGCTGCATCATCGAAGCTACGATTCATCCCAAAGAAGGAGCGAGAGCGCCAAGCAGCAGAAAAGGCCAAGCAGGAAGAAGAAGAGCGCAAGCGCAAGGCCGTGGAGGATGCGAAAAAGAAGGCAGATCTCGAAAGGAAATGGGCATCCGAGGCGAACGGCGCGGGCGATAACAGAGCGCAGAATGGATATGGGAGCAGAGTGCCTACCGGGCCAAAGGCTATGAATGGCACGGAAAACGGCAGAGATGGCCGAGGCGCCGGAGGCCGGGGGAGGGAAAAACCAGAACGGAAGACGACCACGAAGGATGGCAAGGAGAAGAAGACGGCGGAAGCTATCGAGGCCGACCTGCTGCGCAACCGATATCTCGGACCTGAGGTGAACAAACAGTCCAACTTCTCTGTCAAGAAGAAGCGCAAGAGGGCAACCGAGTTCAAGTTCGAATGGGACGCGGAAGAAGACACCACACTCGAGAACGACCCGATGTACGAATCCAACTCGACAACCCTGAAATCCTACACATTCGGCAGTCTGTCTGGCGAGTACACTGAGGAAGCCGAAGAAATTGCGAGAAGAAGGGCAAGGATGATTGAGGAGAGAGACCGCGAATTCGGAAAGCAACGGGCAAAGGAATTCATGGATGACTTTTACAAAGCACGAGAGAAGGCAAAGGAGCGCGCAGACCGATCAGGCCTGGGCAAGCACTGGTCGAAGAAGACACTCGAGGACATGCGAGAGCGCGACTGGAGAATTTTCAAGGAAGACTTTGGCATTGCGACAAAGGGTGGCCTCATCCCCAATCCGATGCGCAGCTGGAAAGAGTCAGGGTTGCCGCGAAGGCTACTGGAGATCGTCGACAGGGTCGGCTACAAGGACCCTTCGCCCATTCAGAGAGCCGCCATTCCTATCGCGATGCAGGCTCGAGATCTCATCGGTGTGGCTGTTACTGGTTCAGGTAAAACTGCAGCGTTTCTTCTGCCGTTGCTGGTCTACATTTCGGACCTGCCGCCCTTGACGGAAATCAACAAAAACGACGGCGCGTACGCCCTTATTCTGGCGCCTACGCGTGAATTGGTCCAGCAAATTGAGACGGAAGCGCACAAATTCGCTGATCCGCTTGGCTTCAACGTAGTCAGCATCGTGGGTGGTCACTCGATGGAGGAACAGGTGCATGCATTGGGCAAAGGTGCCGAGATTATCGTCGCAACTCCCGGTCGTCTGGTTGATTGCATCGAAAGACGCGTCCTTGTCCTGTCTCAATGCTGCTACGTCATCATGGATGAAGCAGATCGGATGATCGATCTCGGTTTCGAGGAGTCGGTGAACAAGATTCTCGATGCCCTCCCGGTGACCAACGAGAAGCCCGACACGGATGATGCGGAAAATGCGACCTTGATGAAGAGTTATCTCGGCGCCAGGGATAGGTACAGACAGACGATGATGTACACGGCCACGATGCCGCCAACTGTCGAGAAAATTGCGAGAAAGTACCTCCGGCGCCCGGCCATCGTCACAATCGGTAATGCTGGCGAGGCCGTCGACACGGTTGAGCAAAGGGTCGAGATGGTGTCCGGCGAGGACAAGAAAAAGAAGCGACTGCAGGAGATCCTTGCCGCTGGAGAATTTGCCCCGCCTATCATCGTATTCGTCAACATCAAGCGCAATTGCGACGCTGTCGCGCGAGACGTCAAGCAGATGGGTTACTCTGCAGTTACGCTACACGGAAGCAAGACGCAGGAGCAGAGAGAGGCGGCGCTGGCGTCGGTTCGCAACGGGCAGACGCAGGTTCTCGTGGCAACGGACCTAGCAGGAAGAGGTATCGACGTGCCAGACGTCAGTCTCGTCATCAACTTCAACATGGCGACGAGCATCGAGAGCTACACGCATCGTATCGGTCGTACGGGTCGTGCGGGCAAGAGCGGTGTTGCCATCACGTTCTTGGGCAACGAGGATGCGGACCTCTTCTACGACCTGAAGCAGATGCTTTCCAAGAGCTCCATCTCGCGTGTGCCCGAGGAGCTTCGGCGGCACGAGGCCGCGCAGCAGAAACCCACACGAGGGCACAAGAGGGCCGGTGGAGAGGAGCAGCAGTCGTCAGGCAAGGGGGGTCAGTGGGGCGCCTAATGTAGGGTAATGGGTGACGGTAGCATGGCGAGTGGATGAGAAAGAGACTGAATAGATGAAAGTGGACTAGGTCCGGCCTCATAGATTATCGTGATAATCTGATCTGATAAAAATTTTATGTCCGAGCCATTATCGTCGGCGCCTCGGTTCTTTTAGCGTCTCTACCTTTGTGCCGTTTGTGCTGTCACCCTCCACACCATCCCATGTTGGTTGTTTTTGACAAAAATTGTGTCTGATCAATGTGGGTGTTCACGCACGCCACCCAAGACCTTATTTGATCCCCGAGATTCTTGTTCGCTGTTGGATATCTGATTCAACAGATTGGCCACCTCAAGTATCTTTCTTCTCAGTGGTACCTAGTAAGGTGATGAATGCATCTTGGTTCCTGCCCAGATGGCGGGGCATGTTGCTGTGCCTGACACCGACAGCGGGGAAGGATTCAACACCCGCCCTCATCAGTTCGGGGTTTCCAAGAACTCACCCGACTGCCTAGCTCCCGCCGACCAAGACTGGCAGGGCACTTCAGAGTTAACCCCACCATAAAGAGCACATTTACGCAATGTGCAATGTTTCTCCCTCCCTCGGTCTGATGTCAGCCCCCCCCGCCGGGATGTTCTAGGCTTGGAAAGTGCGCCTAGTGTCCCGCTGCGAAACGCAGAAAGCAGTGCCCGATGAAATGGACCAGGCAAGGTAGGTATTCACAAGCGGGAAAGAGAATAAGAGAATTTTCTGCTACCCGACCCAAGGTGCCTTGGCTCTAGGTAAGGAAGGTACATCTAAGTTACCTCAGTCATGGAAGATGGGAATGTACCTACTTCCATGCTGACCTTGCCTTGTTGGTGCCGCCCAACACTCCACCAGTAACTTGCAATTCCGCGCTTCAATCCTCCTGCGAGCCCGCCCTTCACCGTTTCTTTCACATGGTTCTAGTATAAACTCCATGCCATGCGCCTCTTCAAGTCATGAGCTGGCCGTTTGACAACCATCTTGTTAAATCCCTCTCTCTCTCTTACTCCTCTTCTGAACCTCTTGGCTGCCTCCCTTCCTCCCTCTCTCTCTTTCTCTCTAGCGCGCGGGCTTTCCAACGTTGCGAGAATTATTTGACCCAACGGGATCGGCATTGACACAAACAAGCCCTTCGAATTGGTTGCAAGCTTGGTGCAGAGAATCCCCAACTTGGAAACTGACCTAAACCCTCCCCGGTATCGGTGGGTATTTTTTGATCGAATACCACCCACCCCCGAAAAAAAAAGTTCTTGGGCGTTGCGCGCTTGCTGGGTGACACACTCGTAGACACTGCCCGGCTACATTCGCTTTTGCCCCGCGGTACCCGTCTGTACTCCGTCTTCCTGTATGGTCATCCCACCTCCCTGATTCAACTCAGTCCGAGGGGGAGCAGTGAGGACAGTGCTGAATAGCCTTCTATTCAACCAGACGTTCTACACTTGCTCCTTTTTTTGAGCAAACTTGCTCCTACTTTTGTTTTTCGGTGTACTTGGTGGTTTCGAAGTTTCACGGTCGCAATCCAAAAAGCTATTGAGCTGCGCGGTATCCTGGCTGGTACTTTTCGACGAGCGACCAACTCGCGCAAACACAATAACCCCCTCCCCTTGTCACACCGACCTTTGAGGGATAACCCGAGGGTGCTCGACGCTTCGTCCGACCTTACGCATACCTTTGACGACCTCCAAATAGCTCAGGTAGCTATTGGCTAGCCATCGCGACTCGCAATTGCCATCACAATGGACTCGGCAGCAGTAGCGATGGAGATTCCCCACCATGACGCACCCGTGTCGCTGAAGAAGAGCCGTACCGCGGCTCTGGAGGCCATGGAGGACATAATCTACGGATCAGTAAGTTGCCCGCTTGCCAACGAAGCTTTGAGCGAATTTCGCTGACGAGCCATTTCCCATCAGGTCGCCGGCGTTGTCGGAAAATACATCGAGTACCCTTTCGACACGGTCAAGGTCCGCCTCCAATCCCAACCCGACAATCAGCCCCTCCGCTACAAGGGCCCGGTCGACTGTTTCCGCCAGTCTTTCCAGGCTGAGGGCCTCCGCGGCCTATACCGCGGTATCAGCGCACCGCTCGTCGGAGCTGCGCTCGAGAACAGCAGTCTGTTCTTCTTCGAACGGATCGGTCGCGCCGCCGTATACCGGTCGGGCTGGACGCCCCAGGGCCAGGAGCTGTCACTCTCTGCCCTGTGGTTCACTGGCGCCTTCTCCGGCTTCTTCACGTCATACGTCCTGACGCCCGTCGAACTCGTCAAGTGCAAGATCCAGGCCCCCGCCGGCGCCGACGGCTCGGGAGCGCCACAGCAGCTGCGCCCGCTGTCTGTTGTCCGCGAAATCTACCGCCATCAAGGCATCAGAGGCTTCTGGCATGGACAGATGGGCACCCTGATCCGCGAGTCCGGGGGTTGCGCCGCGTGGTTTGGCAGCAAGGAGACGGTGACAAAGATGTTCAACGTGCTCAACGCCAAGTCGGCCAAGACGCAAGGTGAGAGGGACGCGCTGGCGGCGAAGCCGCTGCCACTATGGCAGCAGGCGCTGGCGGGTGCCTCTGGCGGTGTGTCGTACAACTTCCTCTTCTTCCCGGCCGACACGATCAAGTCGCGCATGCAGACGGCAGCCATTGGCGACGCCGCGCAAAACCGGTCATTCTGGCAGGAAGGCGCCGCCGTCTGGCGGCAACACGGGCTCAGGGGGCTATACCGGGGCTGCGGTATTACGTGCCTTCGCTCAGCGCCCAGCTCTGCCTTCATTTTCATTGTTTTTGACGGCCTCAAGCGACATTTCCCCTTCCAATAGAGTTCCTTTCCCTTTACACGTGTCGAAACCCTTTAAGATATCCTAGACTTGGGTGGTTGTGGCTGCTGTTGTTGGAAGACGGGGAGGTGGCTTTATACAATTTGGCATTTAGAAGGCGTAAACGGGGATGCAATTTCGGAAACAAGTATATATACTTATACATACGTGTGCATACACTTTGGGCTGGATCGGCCCGGCTAGAAGGGTGTGGATTTATACCAAAAGTTGAAAGAGACATGAGCGTAGATTATTGAGTCTTTTATACACAACTTGGAATCAAAGGATACACTATTTGACATGTTGAATGATTGCGTTTCCACTGCCAACCGGCCTTTGTTTGGGAAGAAATCTGCCTTACTACAAGACTGTTACTGGGATGATACGCTTACCGCGCAAGTCTGTGAGGTGTTGGCTGTGATGGTCAAAGGACAGAATAGGGGGCTAAGAGACATTGGATCTCTCAACGTCATCCATCTCTCTGTGTGGCCCCGTCTTCTGCTTCATGCTGATGAAAACTCTGGTAGTTCGTCCTTGCTCGTTCTGGGTGCCTCGTCCTTCAGTAATAGTCTTCACGCTCAACGGTTCTCAAATCACACAACGAGCGTTTGTTTGAAGCCTGGAATATCGAATTTTCTTCCTAATAAACGCTCAACGTAAGGAACAGGCCGGCCAATACCAACTAGAACGCCATAGCACGCAGATACGCCCACCAAGTCCACTCTTCCTCCTCCTCTCCCTTCTCTACACCATTGCACGTGTCACAAACACCTGCACGACAACGGTAACAGTCGCAACACTACTGCTTCTTTCCAGCCTTGGCGGCCTGTTCGGCCTCGAACCGCTCCTCGGCGCCCTTGAGGTCCCAGTCGTTGAGGTAACCCGCTCCGGCACAGAGGTAGGTCGCAAAGGAGAGCCAGCCGAGGTAAGGGACGAGGCAGGCGCCGGCGACGGCGTCGACGGATCCCCAGAGGTAGGTGAGGTAGGAGTTTATGCCGAGAAGGGCGACGATGTCGACGGTGGCGGCGATGGGGCGCTTCATGAGGAAGAAGAGGGGCATCCAGATGAGGTTGAGGCCGAGTTGGATGGTGTAGAGGGTCGCGCCGTGTTTTGTGTCGGCGATTTGGGAGAGGGTGGAGGTTGGGGAGAGGCCTGTTTGGAGGGCGCGGTAGGCGGAGTAGCCCATTAGTCTGGACGATTGTCAGATTTAGACATAGGCGCGGAGGGAAGTGTTGTGATAAGGGATGAAGTTGGTGGGCTTACCCGTAAAGGAGAGTCCATGCCGGGCCAAAGACCCAGGCGGGAGGGCGGCCGGGGGGGTTCTTGATGGCGGCGTAGGTCTTCTTAGTGTCCCTGGCTATATGACCGTTGTTAGTATCGGTTTAACAACGTTGCGAGGTTACTCGAGGGGGAACGTACGTCGCGAAGAGTAGCCCACGGCCGTCCCGAGAGCTATCGGGAGCAGGATCGAGGCGGCGGCATTCTCGAAGACCTGGTGGGGTAAGGTCAGGGCCGGGATGAAGGTTGTCATTGTAGCCGATTTCAGTTATGAAGTGTGTTGAAATTGACAACAAGTGTAAGAAACGTATCAGCTGTGCGAATGCGATAATGGCGTGTGGTGTGTTTATAAGTAAATTGCAACGGTTCGTCTGGAACATGCGATGCGGATGATGAGAGGCAACCTCGGGGCGGGTCCCAGTCCGACATGCGAGGAAGCTATCCTCTTACAGGAGAGCTATGACGCAATGTGTATAGGGTCTCCCGTCAGGAACCACCTCAATCCGGCGTCTTTTTACTTCCCTAATTGTCGAATTCGTTATGTTGGCAAGAGGGACTCGAACTTACGGTCGAAAGGTGCATGCGGTGCTTGTCAATTCTCGACAGACAATTGGGTCGACGGATTGACGGTAAAATTGTCAAGTTGTCTGTCACCCATTTTATCTGAACTGATTTGGTCGTTTGGGCAGATGGGGACCCCCGTTCCTCAGATGGGCATGCTTCTGCCGCTACAGGGGTGAAGCTCTGGAGATCGCTGGGGATCGGCCGCCGTTGTTCTGCAGCTCTCCAGCAATTGAATTCCACTGGACATTGACCCGCCTGTCACGGCTGGGGGCAGCTGCGCCGGCGTTGGCAGCACTTGAGGAAGGCATCTACAACTACTGCGCTTGTCAGGTACCCGGGAGGCTTTTTTTTATTTAAAGAAGGCGTACTCTCAAAGACTCTCTTGGAGCTCAATTGCCTGGTATACTTATTGCAAGTCATGTATTTCATAGCAAAGGTCCAGTTCAATCAACGACTCGTATCTGGCAAGTACATATGCTAAAAGAGACGTATGCAGTTAAGAGTGCCGAAGCTGCCGAGGATCCCCCGAAGGAACACTAAACCCGTTTCGCTCACAGTGGACCTCTCTAGCCGACCCTTTGTCCGTGTCTCGCTCCCATCATCTCGTCGCCCTTTGAGTACGGGGTCTGGTCAGCCTTCACATCCTCCATATCTCTCTCGTGCATCCCAAAGCCCTCTACCGTTTGGATCACGACAGCATCACGCGTCTTATCGTCGAGGCATACGCCCTCGCCATCGGAATAGTTCGTTCTTCCCTTTCTTTCTGCATTATCTTTACTCTTCCGCAACCTATTGTCCATCCATCACCTCGATACGATCCCCATTATTCCTGTCTTCCCTCTCCCAGAACCATCCATTCTTACTCCCGCCCAACTCCTTGTTCAACCATCCTCGTTTGTCAATCATTCTCAGCAGGCCTCATTTGGCATTCCATCTTTTTTCTTCTTCCGTTTGTACCGTCGTCGTTAGAGTGACGAGTCGGTTTTCAAATCATCTTTGCCCTCTGGCAGCTGCACCACTTTTTACTGCTACTTCCCTCCCGAATTCTCAATTCTTTCTCTTCTTCCGTTTCCCTCAGAAGCTGTCCCGTATCCCGCCTGCAGAATGATTTCTCTAACCGCAATCATGTTGCCAATCAACAGGCTTCCTCCATCTTTCTTCCTTCGATCGAGCAAGCGAAACGAAATCATATGAACAGCAAGCACTCAGCTACCCGACGCCGACGCGATACTTAATCAGCCTCAAGAGGTCAATTGAACTCAACAAAGACGCCATTTACCTTCCCACACACTAGACTCGACGCGACATATCCACGATGGACTCCTACTCTTCTCACCGAGACTCATCTGCGCGCTCGCCGGGCGACAGGACATGGAGCAGTCGCGACGACACACGAGTCAAGGAGGAGCGAGCTGACACATTCTACCGTGGTAGATCGCCTGGTGCGTAGGATCTCTGATTACCCCATTCAATGGCTTGAGTCGTTCCGTGACGAGGCTTCTGCCAGGATACTGAGCCTCGCAATTGCAAGGGTTTACTGGCCAATTACTTACAAATCTTTCAGGCCATGAGCGTCAACACCGTGACAGACGTCGTTCACGATCCCCGGCTGCTATCGACCGGTACGAGCCAAGGGGCCGTGGTCGCGATGACTACGCCGGTGGCAGAGACCGCGATGATCGTCGGGAGAGGAGAATCCAGTCACCGCCAGCCAACATTGATCGCTACGTCCCTGGACAAGACAGCAGCGCCTCCGCGCCGATGACCGTCAACCCCCTCGCCGATCCCGTCAAGCTTCCATACCAAGTCGGCTTCTCATACTTCGGCGAATGGTGGAGGATGAACGAAAAGATTAAGGAGGAGAAGGAACGTCAGCGCACTGGTCGTCGTCGTGAACCCGAACGCGCCCGAGGCACACGTGAAGCACAAGAAGAGCGCGAAAAGGAAAAGGCCAAGATTCAGGTCGCGTATGACGCCTACAAGGAAGAACTTCAAGCCAAGATGGCTCGCACCTTTGTTGGCGAGCACAAGAAGGAGCAGTGGTTTCGCGAACGCTATGTCCCTGAGATTCGTGACGGCTTCAGAGCACAGCTTAATGAGTTTCGCCGCGGCGCCTACAGCCAATGGGAGCAAGATCTTGAGTCTGGAACCTTTGACGAGTTTTCGCTGGAGGGAATCCCAAAGAGCGAGACCAATGGCCTTGGAGGCCTCGTAGAGAAGGAGGAAGGTGAAGCAACCGCCGCCAACGAGATCCTTGGCGTGGGAGACCTTGTCCCAGCCAATGGTGGTGATATCAGAGACGAGAACCTGTATCAGCCCACACTTCTCATCAAGACCATTGCGCCCCATGTCAGCAGACAAAACCTCGAGACCTTCTGCAAGGAGCACCTTGGCGAAGAAGAGGGCGGCTTCAAGTGGCTATCTCTGTCAGATCCCAACCCAAGCAAGCGGTATCATCGCATTGGCTGGGTTATGCTTCACCCTTCATCAGAAGTTGCCCCTGCGGTCGTGGACCGTGTCGACCCCAAGGATGAGGATGGCGACATGCCCTTGAAGTCGCCGGCGGTTGTGTCGACTGCCGAGAAGGCACTTGATGCCGTCAACGGCAAGACTGTCAAGGACGAAGTTAGAGGCGATTTTGTCTGCCACGTCGGTGTGCACAACCCGCCTAGTCACCCCAGAAAGAAGGCTCTCTGGGATCTCTTCTCTGCGCCCGAGCGGGTCGAGAAGGACTTGGGCCTGGTTCAGCGACTTGTCAACAAGTTTGAGGAAGACTTCGGCTCTGACTTCAACGCCGTCTTAAAGATTGAGGAACGTGTCGACGACCTTAAGAACGGTGGCCGCCTCCAGCCCGCAGCCACTGCACCCAAGAAGAAGGCTAAGAAGGAGCGTGACCTTGACGTCGACGACGGCATGGAAGACGGAGAGGATGGTGCTATCGATGATGACGAGGATGAGGGTGCCGTTGAGGAGGAGGACGTTGACGATGAAGACCTCCTGGTCAAGAAGAAGCAGCTGGATCTCATGATTGAGTACCTCAGACGCGTCTACAACTTCTGCTTCTTCTGCGTCTTTGAGAGCGATTCGATTCATGAGCTCACTCGCAAGTGCCCCGGTGGTCACCTTCGTCGCCCGAGGACCACTCTCAGCACTTCTGCCAAGGCTGTTGCGCGCGCTAGTGCCAACGGGGAGCCTTTCCCTGGCAAGAAGCGCAGCGAGATTGAGGAGGAAGGCGAAGCGACCGAGGACAAGAAGTTCCGCGGCACTACCGGCAAGGCAGAACAACAACTGCTTCGCGCCTACAACTGGGTCAAGACATTCGAAGACAAGATTTTACAAATTCTCGAGCCCGAAACTGCAGATCTGCGCAAGCTTGGAGGCCGCTCCGTTGAGGATGCCGTCGGTGACGAGCTGCTCAAATACGTCAAGCAGGAGGACGAGCACAAGTGGAGATGCAAGGTTCCCGATTGTGCCAAGTTGTTCAAGGAGGAACACTTTTGGCGCAAACACGTCGAGAAGCGCCATAACGAATGGCTCGAGACCATTGAGCAAGAGGCAAGTCATATTTCCCAGCTACTTTATGCCAGCTGCTAACCAACTACAGTTCCATCTTATCAATGCCTATGTCATGGACCCATCCCACATTGCTCCATCAAGGACAGATGCTAACTCCAACGGTCACTTCCCTCCTGCTAATGGCTCGTCTGCAACTGGAACCCCCCGTGGGTTCAATCTGCAGAACTTCACCATGAATGGCATGATGCCCATCCCTGGATTCCCCATGCCACCTGGCGGCTTCCCGCCATTCGTCGGTGGTGGACATCCCGGTATGCAGTCCGGTTGGAATGCCGGCGGCGATGACCGTGGAGGCCCTGGTCCTATTCGCCGAGGAGGCATGAGTGGAAGCCGTGGCAACTACCGAAGCGGTCCCTACGACCGACGCCCGAATCCCCGCTGGGATGGTGGTATGAGGGGAGGAGGCCGCGGTGGCGCCGGCAAGTGGGGAGACGGTGCCGCTGGTGGAGGAGCGGCTGTCGGCCCACGAGAGGCCACTCAGGGACGTAGCCTCAAGAGCTACGAGGATCTCGATCATGTCGCTGGCGGCGGCGGCGGAGAGCTGAATTATTAGGACAAGAACTACTCCCATCGCTTGGAACGTCGCAAAGGAGAGGTCAAGGAGAATTCGAATCAGTAGTTGCTAAGGCTATCGAGCAACCCTCGACTCGGGCGACTAGTTATGGCGCCGAGAATGGCGCTCTCCTCGAGGGCATGTTTTCTGCAACATAGGCGTTGCATAATCATCGGGCACACTGAGTTGTACTTTGTAAAATAACAAAAATTCCGGAGCTAGGTTGGGATTGCGAATTAAAAGGACTTTCAGTTATCTGCGTTTGACGGCCGATGATCTGCTCCACTGGATCGACTACCATTTTGCGTTGGATTTGCCCGCCTGAATTACGTATGTACGTCAGGGAGATCAAGTCAGTAGATTAGTATTAAGTGGGAAGTACTTTAACACCGACCATCAGACAAAGTCTGGTGAGCTATCTACTATGTTGAGCTGTGTTGATTCCATGTTTTCTCACGTCCTTTGCTCAAGTTGGGTACCTTTACCTGTGTCAACACACGGAAGTCTAATGAAGAGCCCATTAACTACTTTTTGACAAGGCCTAAGCCCGTCCTTTATCTCTTTCATACTGTTGCTGACCAGACCGTTACTAGCATTGTCGTCATCGCACTCATTTACAGACTACTTCACCTCTATAGCAGGACATACATACTATTCTATATCTATAAAAGAACTAGGAGTCTCCCTTAGTCTTTCATCTAGTAAATCATCCTTTAATAATATATAAAGACTATTGATTTAGAGTTTAGCAGTAGGTAGGTACTCGTATAAAATCTTAATGACAGCTATAAGCGATACTATTTAAATATCTACTTCCGCTCTCATTTTCTTAATCTACTTTAAGACTTATGATTTCTTCATTTTCCTAGGTAGAAGGCATAATATACTTAGTAACGGGTTGCTAGGTTCGCGTAAGTATAAAAGTATAGTTGGTATAGAAACTTAATATACAATATCTTAAGTATGTATTATTGTTATAATGCTGTTTTTCTCGTACTAGCTTTTATAGGCCTTTGTATCCTCTTCTCGATCTTCTCGCGATGGGAGGTTAGAGACCGCCGATGTTTCTGCTCCTACCGCTTTTGCAAAGGCCGCCGTAATGTTATTGTCTGTGTCGTTGTCGGATTGTATCCGCACTAGAAATACGTCGGCAAGAAGAGCGACCGAGATACGTTTGCCGGTGCGTAAAGGAGCCTCGACTAGATGCTCCTCTAAGCCTTGAAGACCCGGGGACGGCCTTCCTCAACAAGTGGCATGACATCTACGGCATGATAGACTTCTTTCCTGGGAATCCTTTCGAGTACTTTGTGGAGGTGTTTTTCCACGCTGGTCAACAGGCGCCCCGACAGCACTTACGAGACGGGGGGTATTTTAGTCTTCTCGACTTTGGAATACTTCAAATTGCGTATCGTAATAAGTATCTCATCTCTGCGGCAAGGTTCTTCATACTCTTGTCCCTGCCCAGCCGGGGTCAAGTGTTGGCACGTTTTCATTTTACTGTTAATCAATCAATAGGCTATAAGATACCTAACAAATGTCTTGACGTATATGTGTACGTACATGCCTTAATGATCTTGCACGAAAAATCCGAGGAAACTAACAAAAGTACGTGTATTCTCATCAGCTCTAATATATCCAGCGCGAGCCTTCTCTCCCAATGTAGAAAGTTCGTTCAGATCATACGCTCATAAATGTCGTGCAGATGGAAAATGAAAATAATAAATGCTTTCCCTGATGTGCCCACCCCCCGTCAATATCTCTATTCAACGCCATCGTCCATTCGTAAATATGCGACAAGGGAACCGCCTTGACTCGAAAACACAATGATCCCGGTTGCTGGCCGTTTCCTTCCTCCGGGGAAAAAGAAAGATGACAAAAATCAACCAATGAATTCCTTACACAGCAAAGGCTCCCACGGCTGCCCCGTAACCCACACCTTCTCCATGAGCACTCTCGCCTTGTGTACCTATTCAAGAACAAGTCAGCTCCAACACTCTGTTCTGGCTACGGGAACACTCAGACATACCTGCGTCATCCCATTTCTCTCCACGCTATGGAATCTCTCCAATATCTTGCTCCTCTGCGCCCCCTCAAGCGCATGGCACCCAGCCGTAAACATGGGAAACAAGAACCCCATCTCCGCCGACCCGCCCGGCACGATACCCTCCAAGCACGCCACGATCCTCCTCACCGGGCCCTGAACGTCCTCGTGGGCAGGCGGCTTGCCTAGGATGCGCCTGTGTAAGTGTACGAGTCCAGCCCAGTGGAACGCCTCGTTCAAGAGAACCATCTCTTCCCTATTACCATGGCTATCAACCTCAACACCGTTGTCCTGACTTCGACTCTGGCCCTGGTTGGTGTCGGTCATATGCCTGCACGGGCGTGACGTCTGCGCCATGCTGAACATCAGCTCCTGTTCCAAGAGCTGAGCCCGCTCGGCGCAAGCTGCATTCGGAGACCAGACAAGTTGCGGCGAGTGGCTGCTCAGCGCGAACCGCTGCTCGTCACAACGGCGCGCCAGCTCTGCGATCTGGGCTAATACCTGGACACAGCGCGTAGTGAACCCCATGATGCAGTCAATCTCATCCCGACTGTCATTGGGATTATGGACCGTGTATTCGAGCAGCCAGAGCCGTGAAGACTCCGCGTCGAGCACACCACCACTCAAGCTCCCTAACACATCCAGGTACGCGAACCAGCTCCACAGAAAGGCACACGCGGCGTCCTCCTGCAGTCCATTCTCAGTTGTCCTGCGTAGGTCGGCCAGCCGCCTCCACATGAGCGTCCGAGCCAGGCTCAGGTGCCGCTGCCATGGAATATCGTACCCGAAGGCGGTGGGTGAGATGATCTCCAGCGAGGCGAGCATGATGGCAGTGGCGAGGCTCGTGTTTGAGATGATCTTGTCCCTGTCATTGAGGGCCTGTCGGAGGGCGGGGAATATATCTTGCACCCAGATCGCTATCCTCATCTGCGGCTCCTTCTTTCCGAGAATTCTCGATCGATGGGCGGCTACGAACCACTACGTCAGATAAGGAATGACAGAACGCGCGCGTGGGGATCAATTACCCGAGTAGGCCAGGAGTAAGCTAAGTAGGTGGTCGTTACCGGCGGCCATTTGTGGCAAAATCGTGCGAAAGGGATTGGATTTGGGGTCGTCGTATGGTACGAGAACTATATCTGGGTCAGCAGGCTTGATGACAGGAATCATGGGCATTATTACCCTTGGCGGTGTGGTTCAGGAAGTGATGCTGTCATTCGGACGTTATTCCACAACTGTAGGGTAGGCAGCAAAACGACGGGACTACTTACGAAGTACTGTTTACCAAAGTCATCAGTGTTATGTAAACATCTACTTGATAACTCAAAGCCGGACTTACAAGGAGGTTCATGGAATTTTCGCGAAGTCTACTATCGTTCAGCCTCGAACCAGTCAAGATTAGTAGAGACTCACTTGGCAGGAAGGGGCTCAATGTTTCGTGGTATCCATATCGGAATAGGCTGGCCATAGTACCCGACCCCAGGCACCGTGAATTGGCTGCTCTCGTATTGCTGGGAATCAAATCCAACACCAACAGCTTGGAGGATATGCCCAGAATGTTTAATAGAAGCCACGGTCTGAGATATGGCCCCTATATCATGATTCTGGGCATAGTCAGCATCTGGTATGCCAAGATCAAAGCCGTAAAATGTAGCCTCCTCAGATACCTCCTGCTTGAATCCAGAGTTGAATAAAGGTGGACCAAAAGACGGAACCAGTCCCTTGTTCACACCATACACATGGCGGGGAGAGCTCGAGAGCAGATAGTCTACAGATAGTCGACTATTTTCTGGGGACGCTGGCGGAGGCAGGCTTAACCTGGGCGACCTCATCTCATCGTCAGATTTGATTCCTAGCGAGACGGGCGTTAAGGGAGAACCGATCGGCGTTGAAACAGTACCCGAGCGGAGAAGAGACGCGGGAGGAGTTTCCCCCATTAGAGAAATTGGCGAAGATATAGGGCCATACTGGCTGAACGCATCCGGGTTACCTGACTCAGCAAGGGATTTGGACCTCTTGTATAATCTCTGTGAAGTGTTTGGAGTTGCGGGAACGATTCGACGTAGGCTTGACGTCGAGGAATGGATTCGAGCATTATGGTTTGGGGTGCTAAGTGGCGGAGCAAAATTACTGCCATGCTGTTGCTGGATCGATCGGGAAGAGGCACCCTGAGATCGACTCAAGCAGTCATTATAAGACTCTAGCTGTTCGAGCTTTCTCTTCCCTGTCTCAACGCTGACCGGAGCAGTCTGGACGCGTTTCGCTATAGGCTTCGGATCTAAACCCTGGGTCGGGTTGTTAATGGTAAACGTATGATTGAACGATGGCTGTTCTGTGTGGGAGGAATCTTTGGATGGCTGGGCGGTCCCTAGTAGCGTTCCCAAAGATAGAGATCTCTTCGTTCGACGGCCCTCCCAATTTAATCGTACACTGTAATCGCAAGGCTCCCCAGTTCGTTGGCAACTGTGTGTGTGTGTGTATGTTAGCTGTCCACTGACTGCAGTCTCTCGCGCCAGCGGCGTCCCAAAGCATATCACTTAAGCGTAGATAGAACGAACTTGATACACGTCGGGTGTTCTTCACCACATTTCACTTTCCGAGCTTTGCACGGCCTGTAGGCGTGTTAGTTAGTTGGAGATGACGATTAGACTAAGACCAAGCCATGTACATCAACGTCACAGAGCATAGTCAACTCACCAACAACCATTTCGGCTTCGACGTTTCGGCTCCGGCGCCCCTGGCTTCTTCGGACGTGGCATCCTGGACCGGAAACTTCGATCCTGGCAATGAGAAAGGGACGAGCCGAACCGAAAGGGGCGGGGTCGAAGCAGGTTGATTGGCTAGTTCATGCTACGCGAACATGCAGCGCAGCTACGGAATCCGGGGGCCCGCGTCAATGAAATATTCATCTGTGAGATGCTTAAGCACACTGTCTTTCACTATCAATGGCGGAGGTAAGTTGTAGGCTACGTTTGAGATCGCTTGCGACAACGCCGGCTCGCCCACTTCGAAGAACGGAAGTGAGCGCGCCGTTAGACATGAGGTACGCCCAAACGTCGTCTATAAGTACGGGGTGGTCACTGGCGGGCGAGATCGGGCTCCGAATTGGGTTGCGGTGATGCAGCGCCGATTGCGGGATCGTAAGCGGCCCAATGCTGGCCTTTTGCGTCCACGTGAACAACGTACAGCCTCACTTAGTTGAGTGGACTTGAGCTGATATGCAGCTGCATCGCGAGACCTGTCTGTATCAGTAGCGAGGCTTGCGGGGATGCTGCGTCCTCTCATTGCTTTTTCCGCTCCATTTCACTTGTGTCCTGATGTGGGGGCGTCTCGAGCAGTTTGGTCTCATCTCCTTCATTACTTGGCGTCTTTCGACAAAACGGGCTATACGATGTCGATGTTGAGAATCTTGATGTCCTCCTCTGGCTTTTCCTTATACGTCCGCGCATTCTCAATCTTGTGGACAACGTCGAACCCTTGGGTTGCTCGCCCGAATATAGTGTGCTTCCCGTCCAGCCAAGGCTGTTTGCAACTGTTAGGACTGCATTATATCTAAGTCACCGAGTTGGACTGTACTCACCGTCTTTTCCGTTGTGATAAAGAACTGACTGCCATTGGTGTTCGGGCCTGCATTAGCCATGCTGACTGTGTATGGCTTGTCGTGCTTCAGACTGCTGAATTCATCTGCGAATTCCTTTCCCCATATGCTCTCGCCGCCCGTGCCGTCGCCGAGAGGATCTCCACCTTGGATCATGAACTTGCGGATAACACGGTGGAAAATCGTGTTGTTGTAGTAGCCGCTCTTTGAGTGGGTGACGAAGTTTTCAACAGCCTTTGGTGCCGCATCAGGGAAGAGACGAATGTGAATGTCGCCGTAGTTGGTGTGGATCACAGCGGCGGTTCCAGTCTCTGCCTTCTTGGCCTCTTCTGCCTTCTTCTGGCCAAGCGTTGTAGGCTTTTCGTTCTGGACGTCTCGCACCGACTTTGAGATTTCATCGTCATTGGTAAACATGTAAAACCGCTGCTTGTTGACCCCTGTCGTTATCAAGATGGGGTCTCTGGACTCGGACTCCTGAAGCAGGGGGTTGGCAGAAGCACCCATCTCGACGGTGGTAATGCCCTTCTTCTGCGGTTGACCTTGATATATCGCCAGGTTGACGGCTCTGAAGTTTTCTTCTTTGCCGTAAACCTTGACAATCTGGTTAGTGTAAGTGTTCAACACTTTAACGCCGGATATTGAGCCGTAAAGAATGAAGTTGCCAGACTCGTCAAAGATGACGTTTGCCTTGTCTCTGTACGCTGCCGAGTCAATCTCTCGCTCTACGGCGAATCTGCGACCGAACTCTACAGTCTCCAGCTTTTGCAGCGCCAACCCAGCATGCTGCATATCTTCAATTACTTGAAGAGATTCGTCATATGTTCGGTACAATTTTCCAGACGCAAAGTCGAAGATTCGGATTTTCCTGTCTGGCTGAGAGAACGCCGCAAACTGCTTGCCTGTCGGTGAAATCGTGATCGATGTCGGTACTGATTTTGCCTTTTTGAAATCGAACAGATTCGTCGAAGCCTTGAACTCAAACACGTTGTCTGGTTTCTCGTAGCCGCCGCTCGGTCGCCAGTACTCCAGCATGCCCTTTTCGTCCGCAGACAGCACACAATCATATGCACTGTTGAAAGCCATGATTGAGACCGGACTTCTGTGTAGAGACTTGATTGTGTGAATCGGGTCTTGTCTCTCTCCCCTGCCATCGAAAATGTGGACATTGGAGTTGGCATCCTCGGACACGGCAAGAAGAGGCAGCGAAGCCCCTCTGTTGTGAACCCAGCAAAGGCACCTTGGTACGAAGGTCAACTTCAGCATCGCTAGAAGATCGAACGTGATAACATCAAAAATCTTGACAGTCTTGTCTGCGCCAGCAGTTGCAAAGCTTCTCCCGTCCTGGCTGACGGAGACGGACCTGATCTCGTCCGCATGCGCCTTGTACTCCTTGACGAATTCTATTCCCTCGGCCACCTTTTTCCAAAACTTCACAACACCGTCTACAGATGAGGTCACAATAAAGTCCGTCAGAGGCGTCACTGTCACGAAAAACAGTTGCTCCTTGTGCATCAGAGACTTGGAATACCGGGTCGACTTTGGCAGCGCGGCAATGTAGAGCTTTTCGTATGGGAGGACGCGGCGCTTTTTCTTCTTTGGTGCTTCTGAGGGGAGCTGGGGGCCCATATCGTCATCGGAGGAGCTGTCTACGCACGCCGTCAGTCCAAGCAATGGTCACAAAGTAGTGCTAGAAGAGAGTACCATGTTGCATGGCGTGTGCTTACCGTCATCTTGAGCAACGAGGTCCGCATGACTTCGCTTGCTGGTTTTGGTGTCGTCGTCGGCCATGTTTTCGATGCCGAACTTCAAAGGTATAGCGACAGCGAGTGTGGTGACCGTGAGTGCAAGTGCCTGTCGCGTGGTAAGGCTGAGATAGAAATCCAGGAAGCTTGTGGTGGTTTGCAGGAAGCTCTCTCAATTGATCCAATCAGATGAGGGTGCCGGGGAAGTGGCAGCCAACGTAAAGCAGCCTTGCTGCTGGCCCTTGGACCCACCCCGAGCTTCTTCTTAGTTTGGCTTTAGCGGCCGGCAACACATGCCGCGGGCTGCGATGGGGCTTCCAGGATTCCAGGTTAGGGGGCCTGCGTGGATCTTTGGTGACCTGGAGGTGCGATCAAGTACGGGGCACCGCGCCGCCGGGATCCATCAGTGACCTCATGACGAAGCCTTCCGAAGGCACCGGACAGTTGCAACTTGCCGCGGTCCGTCAGCCTGACGATGCATCGATAGGAACCTTGATTAGTCGGCGACGAGTTCTCTCCTAAAGAAGACAAATAAATAAGACGCTCCCTTGCCGGAATCATCTTCACAAGGTTTTCGTCTCAAGGCATCAACGAATACGACGACCCAATCCCTCGGGCTTCTCCCTCCCTGCCCTCAACAATTCCACTCTTTTGGGTACCGTCTCATTACGGAACTGCCATCTCATCCCTTCTTTTACAGCAAAATTACTCCAAAACCACGACATTGGAACATCCGGCATCATTGTCAAAAATCGAGGCAAAATAAGATGGCCAAACATCAGCTACAGCGGCTGCAGTCGCCTTCCCGATCAGCGTCCCTGTTGCTACACGTTACCGGCATCGTTTCGTTCATCGCATCCTTCAACTTCCTGAATGGACTCACCCACGACATCTCTATGGGCTTTGGAGGAAACTACCAGCATCTCACCAACATCGGACTCATTCTATCGTTTGTGACGTTCGTGACGGGACTGTTGGCTGATCTCACCCTCAGCCCTTCGTTGTTTGCTGTGAAGAATGCCCTGGCGACCACGGCAGCACCGCTCGAGGTGCTCATCAGCATCTTGTACTGGGGAATCCGCTCCATCGACAAGCGTTTGCTGATTCCCGAGGGTTTCGAGCTTCACTGGCTACCGGATGTTGGATTCCATCTGGTCCCTGCTGTCGTCCTGTCTCTGGACCTCGTCCTATTCAGCCCGCCATGGACGATTCGTGCGTACTCGGCCATGGCGATTAGTATGATCTTTGCCTTCCTGTACTGGGGCTGGGTTGAGCTGTGCTTCAGCAGGAACGGATGGTATGAATAGTCGTCTTCCTTGACTGAGTTTCCAGGCCGCTAACCAGCTGCAGGTACCCTTACCCTATTTTCGATGTTCTCAACACCGTACAACGTGTGGGATTGTTCACTTTCTCGGCTGCGCTTATGACTGCGAGCACAAGTCTCTTGAAGTGGGTGTATGGCCGATTCAATGGCTATGGGAAGATGGAAAAAGAGGCTTACAGGCCCCTGAAAAAGACGATCTAAGCTTTGATGTATAGGTGCTGTATTGTAAGACTGGTACCAAGGGTTCGAGGGGTTCAAAGCGACATCGGTGGTGTTTAGAGCAGATTTTTGAAGTATTTGGAGTATTAGATTGGATGTGGTTAGATGACATGTCAAGCTAGGGCGCCTTGGGAATAAAACTAAGGTACCAAACCATGTGCTCCGAATATTCGTTCCCAATCGGTTGGAGGAGAAGAGTTGAAGGCATACAATCCAACCTCAGCTCAGGGCACGTCCAAGTCGACGTAGCACTGACTGCACTCTCAGTCTGCAATGGAAATGCCCGTTCTTCGGTGCTGTCGCGGGCATTTCCCAGGCGGTGAGACCCATCTTGTGGCGCCATGGAGTGAAGTAAGGCCGGCTGGACAGGTCCACAGGGGGGGTAACGCTCACGTCACAGCCATAATTCAGTGAGAAAGATGCGGCAAGGATACCCCTCACTGCCGGCCCATTGGTTCACTGGTGGCAACCTGGAAGTTTGCTTGCACTCTTTTGCATGAGGCGGCCCTAACTTGACTTGAGTCTTGAAGTAGTGGTGGTCGTCGTGGTCAAGGTGGTGCTTGACTTTTTTCTGGGTCCGTCTTCGGCGGGGTACTGCCGGCCGGGGTGGCACTGGGCAGGGGACGAATGAGTCTTCGCCCATTTGTGCTCAGGTCTGATGTAAGGTATTCCAGTCCTCGAAGCTGCCCTCCTTCAGACACAGCAACCTACAAACACAGAAGGAAAAAGTTTATTTCTCTTTTCAATTGCGCTTTCTTCACTTGTCAACGACCTGAGTGTTCCTTCAATCGACTCGTTCAGCATTCACTAAGCGTTCAGCGTCCAATTGTATCTTGGCTTTGAATATTTCGCCACCACCATGTCTGTAAGTCACTTCTCGCAACCCCCTCGGCCACTCTGCGCGCGCGCGCAAGTACACACACCTCTGACTCACCACTCTCCCACAGAGCTTCTTCATCGAGAACAAGAATGTCGGCAACAAGGCCGACAGCGAAGATTGGAGAAGTATGAATTGCATTGGTCCTTTGTCAGTGGTCAGTCTAAGCTAATTGACGTACCAGTTCGCGGCTACAACCCTTTGACGTCGCCGGATCTGCTCCAGCACGAGATTGCCCAAACCCCCAAGTCGAAGCAGACCGTGATCGAGGGCCGTGACGAGTCCGTCGCTATTGTCAATGGCACCGACAAGAAGGAGAGACTGCTGGTCATCATTGGCCCTTGCTCCATCCACGACCCCAAAGCTGCTCTCGAGTACTGCGATATGTTGCTGAAAGAGAAGGAGAAGCACAAGGACGAGCTCCTCATCGTGATGCGCTCCTATCTCGAGAAGCCGCGCACAACAGTTGGATGGAAGGGCTTGATCAACGACCCGGATATCGACAACAGCTTCAAGATTAACAAGGGTCTGCGCCTGTCAAGACAGCTCTTCGTCGACCTCACCGACAGGGGCATGCCTATTGCCAGCGAGATGCTCGATACCATCTCGCCCCAGTTCCTTGCCGATCTGCTGTCCGTCGGTGCTGTTGGCGCGAGAACCACCGAGAGTCAGCTGCACCGAGAGCTGGCGAGCGGTCTCAGTTTCCCCGTCGGTTTCAAGAACGGCACTGACGGGTCGCTTGGTGTCTCTATTGATGCAATTGGTGCCGTCAGACACCCCCACCACTTCCTTTCTGTTACCAAGCCCGGTGTCGTAGCTGTCGTCGGTACGCTGGGTAACGAGGACTGCTTCACGATTCTCAGAGGTGGAACTCGGGGCACTAACTACGATGCCAAGAGCATTGCTGAGGCCAAGGCTGCCTTGGAGAAGGCCGGCCTCCCCCAAAGACTCATGGTCGACTGCTCCCACGGCAACTCCCTGAAGAACCACAAGAACCAGCCCAAGGTTGCTGCCGACCTCGCTGGCCAGATTGCCGGCGGCGAGACTGGCATCATGGGTGTCATGATTGAGAGCAACATCAACGAGGGTAAGTATCTTTCTGGGTCATTGCATGTAGTTGCGGATACTAATCTTTTCGACAGGTAACCAAAAGGTGCCGAAGGAGGGCAAGGAGGGCCTGAAGTACGGAGTCAGCATCACAGACGCATGTATCCACTGGGACGACACCATTTCTGTCCTCGATCAGTTGGCCAACGCAGTGAAGCAGCGCCGCGAGGTCATCAGCAAGAACGGCGCTTGAGTAAGGCAGCTGGGTTTCGAACGATTTTGCGGATGTGGGCGACTCCATGGTACGTAGATCGGCCACGGGGCGTGGCTGACGATTTGGACGAGGGAAAAAGTGTGCATATATCGAGAGCATATCTGCCATGAGTTGCAGGAGCTTCAGTTTGCGAGGGTAAAAAAAGTTTTGTAGTTTTGTCGAATAAAAGTCCACCTGATACCCAACTCCTTCGCTATTCATGTCGTTCGGGCATGTGAGATGCTGAGCTGTTGAGAGGTTCGGAACTAAATCAATCATTTTACTTGTCTCTCAAGTTCTGTCTCGCCCTCGATTTGAGGTAGTGAGTTATGTTAGAAAGAAACAATTCATCGTCCAATGTCGTGTTGTGATGCATGTAGTAGATCGCTGCAGTTGCATCCAATTCAGGCCAATCATGGGGGCGATATTTCTCAGTCCGGGAAGCAGGCAGACGCCAGCTGTTGGGTTCACTTGGGTAAGACGGGCTATCGGAAATACGTGTGGTCAATTGAGCGCAACCGGGCAACTACGGGTAAGTGGAAGGAAGCGAAAAGTCGCCGGAACGGAAGATGTCATTGACCGTGTCCATCAGCCAATCAGAGACGTCCCATACCTAAGGCACTCGAAAACTGCCTCAAGCGATTTTCTCCTGCCTCGATTGCTGTACCATAGAAACGATCTCCGCCACGAGACGACCTCCCACCAATTGCCCCATCATACTGTTCGCGGCTGTCTCTGTAGCTGCGGATTGCGGATACGGCTCGCCCATCATGTTGGCAAGGTCCTGCTTGCGCTCGGCGCGCACTTTCACAAATGGCGCTGTCACGATTTCAAAGGTACGCAGATGAGCTGATCACGAGTCGAAATTCCCGAGGCAATCCGACCGACCGCCAACGAACACGCCCGAGCCCGGCCTCAATGCTCATCGACGGACATCAATGGACATCAAGGACTTGGGGGCAATTCGCTGACGATGATTGTTACAGCGTGCCGCCTCTACTTCCAGCGGCGCTGGTGCCGAAGCTTCCTCTAGATTGAACCTCGCCGCCGTCACGTCGACGTCTCTCGCCTTGGGCTCTATGGCCTGGTACTACCACCTCTACGGACCTTCCGCCAATGCTGCCGCACCGGCTGAGGAGGGGTGAGTTTTTACCCATCTGTACGCGGTCGATGCCGGACAATTGCTCGAATGCCGCCGAATCCCTTGGGTTGAGGCATAATCGACAATGGAACCGGGGCCGACCGACGACCGACGAACAACGATCATTGAGCTAACTTATCATCTTCCAGTCTTCACTCGACCAACTACCCTTGGGTTCACGAGCAATGGTTCAAGACCTTTGACCACCAGGCGTAAGTAGAACACCACGTTCATTTTTTCGACCTGTCCGGGATGTATGACGCTTACATTGAATTGTAGCCTCCGCCGTGGTTTCCAGGTCTACCGCGAGGTCTGCGCCTCTTGCCACTCTCTCAGCCGTGTCCCCTACCGAACTCTCGTCGGTACCGTCTTGACCGTCGACGAGGCCAAGGCCATGGCCGAGGAGAACGAGTACCCCGGTGAGCCCAACGAGCAGGGTGACATCGAGATGCGCCCCGGCAAGCTCTCCGACTACATGCCCGACCCCTACAAGAACGAGGAGGCTGCCCGTTTCGCCAACAACGGTGCCCTTCCCCCCGACCTGAGCTTGATCGTCAAGGCCCGCCACGGTGGCTGCAACTACATTTTCAGCTTGTTGACCGGTTACCCTGAGGAGCCCCCCGCGGGCGCCGTCGTCGCTCCCGGCATGAACTTCAACCCCTACTTCCCCGGCACCGGTATCGCCATGGCCCGTGTCCTTTACGAGGACCTCGTCGAGTACGAGGACGGCACCCCCGCCTCCACCTCGCAGATGGCCAAGGACGTTGTCGAGTTCCTCAACTGGGCTGCTGAGCCCGAGATGGACGACCGCAAGCGCATGGGTATGAAGGTTCTTGTCGTTTCGGCCTCCCTTTGGGCCCTCAGCGTCTGGGTCAAGAAGTACAAGTGGGCCTGGCTCAAGTCGAGAAAGCTCGCCTACGACCCTCCCAAGGAGACCAAGGTTCGCCACTAAATTAGCATGGCAACATTTCGGTTGTCTCTGTGTATGTTATACTAGGCTCTCTAAAACAGCTCCTTTGTTAGTGGAGGCGGCAGAGACGAGATTCATCGTTGGGAGCAATATGGGGAGCGATAGAGTGTAAATCAGATGGTCCTTTTTCAATACCTGACTCCTTGATAATGACAAGACAAGATTACAATTCAATGTGCCCTGCCCATGTTTCAGTGATGTGCCACGGAACAACGTACTACAAGAGTCTGGTGAACAAGCTAATATTTCGAGATGACTTATGACTGCTATCAACGGAGAGCATCTCTACAAATACAGAGTCATAGACCCAGGTGAGTAAACGCCCGATACAACCCTAGGCTGGTGGAAACAACGTTGTCTTCAACACTGTCTCGGTCACTGATTTGCCGAGGCGCAGTCGTATCTTTGGGTAAGGTGATGGAACAATGCGAGGTGTGTCACATAAATGCATATTTCGCCCCCATCTTCATAAATCTTTGAATGAATAAAATGATGTTTCGTCCCATGTTTTCCCTCTAGACCCCTAGCTTGTACAAATTTATGTGACTTTGCAGGCATTGCAAGTATCGTTTGTCGCCGATAACCACCAGTTTCTGAGCAACAACGAGTGAGCGGCCGGGGTTTGCACCTAACTTAGGCAGGTAGTCAGGGGGTGTCAATTGGTGGGAGAACGAATCTGGTGGGTCTCTTGGAGGTGCTCCAGCTACCTGCTCCAAAGACCGACCTGGGCGAGTTGAATGGAATAGCGGAGGAAGGAAACGACGGGGTTTCCAGCGGACGGCGCGCTTTCCGATCAGTTGGGTCCAGCGCTGAGTCCGCTGAGATGACTGCGCTGACAGAACAGGTGGAAAGCACGACCTTAACCAATCTAATTATTCCATTCAACGCTCGTTGGTTCCACCCCAACTCATTAGACTTGGCAACTTTCGTCAGGCCCAAAAGCTCCGAGCCGGGCCTGGCCACCAGTGCCACATCAAAAGCACCCTCCAGTGCCTCCGCTGCCAGAGCCTGCTCACATGGACGTATATGCCTGCAGCTAACTAGCGACACCACCATCTTTCCCCCCTCCTCCTCTTCCACGAAGGAGCTGCCGAGTCAAGAAGAGCGAGTGGGAAGGAGCGTTTTTCACTCGTCATCAGGTCCTCTCTCTTCTTGTGAGGTCTTTTGCTCTCCATCTTTGACCAGAAGCAAGCCCTCAACGGTTTGTTTCGTTACCTTCATACCCTTTCCTTTCGGTTCTGCTTATCGACAAGAGAGATTTACGGGGAACCTTATCAGCGAACCTCGCCTTGCCGACCACGACTTCAACCACCACCAACGCCTGGTTTCTCGCCTCCTTCCAACGACGAGAAATCCCCTGTGCATCGATCCACGAGCTCAAACCACGGACGACTCTCACAGCAATCCCTGCCTAAATCGAACAACAGAACAGAAACCCAATGCCATCCGTCGCCGAGGAGCATCCACGGCTGATGGCGATGGCGTCCGGCAGGAAGCGTAGACGAGACGTCAACGACGCCAACATCAACGACCTGCAGTTGCCAGCCCCTCTGTACGAGAAACTCGCCCAGTATCAGGCCGCAACGAACAACTGGAACGCTGACGGCGTTTTTGGAGGCAGGCCCATTCAACAGCAGATTCAACAGCAGCAACAACAGCAGCATCTGGGAGGCAATGCCCTTCGCTTCCCTTCCAGTAATAATGACCGGTTGAGATATCAGTTTGGCTTCTCCGACGATATCGCTGCCTCCGTCGAACCCTCACGCCAGAACATCGACTCGGCGCCTCGTAAAATAGCGCCACTCCCTGTACCCAAACGACAACGCATGTTCGACGACGATAACGACAATGATGCGGATCTTGGTAGCTTGAATGGTGGTTCTACGTCACAGTATGACCCGCAGCAAAGACGGGGTAGCAAGTCGTCGACGGGATCTCATCATACCTCTCATTCGGCACAGAACCGTGCGGATGCAGCTGGTAACAGAACTAAGACGCCCTCATCCTTGGCTCCCTGTCACATCTGCCACCGCCGCCCTACGAAGAAATCAGACCTCGATTCGTTCGCAGATTGCCAGGGCTGTGGACAGCGGTCATGCTATATTTGTGTCAGAGAGTGCCAGGGCTGGGAGAAGGATGGACGGCCAAGCAGCAACGGCGGCATGAACAGTACGCAACTAGGCCAAGAGCAAGACGGAGTCGACCTCTCACGGTCGTGTACTATGGACGACGTGGATGACGACAGGCAACGACAATCAAGAGAAGACGAAGAGTCAAAGAGGACTGGCCGAGCCACTCGGCACAACAGCTGGACGGGAGGCTGTCATCGGCAGATGGTCTGCAGTCGTTGCTGTATCGAGAAGGGCGCTGAGGGCGACATCGTTTGCCTGGGGTGCCTATCACGCATGGAGTCAGTCTAGCGTGATTGTTACGCCCTGTGGAAGGGCTTTTCTTTTCGTTCTCTTGTTTTCAAATCATAGCGTTCAAGGAGGTTCTTTTTCAACAGTCACAACGCCCACGAAAGATCGTGGAGCGTACGGCACTGCTAATGAAGGCATGTATATCCTTTGGTAATGGAGCAATCTGGGAAATGCTGAGGCAGCATGGGACGCTGTTTTTTTCACATCGGAGGAAAATATCACTAGGGAGCAGCGGAAGAGATGGATGAGTTGAAACTACTCCGTTTTCACGTCCCCATTCTCACTACGTAAGGTAGGCTGGAGAGGCTAGAGAGCTTTGTCTAGCTGTAGTTCAATGTAATTCTACGGCCAACAATACCAATTCTATCAAACGAAGCCATCATGTACGATTCAGTGATCAAAGATATCAGGCAGTGAGCCAGACTAATAATATTACTTGCAGCATGTACCCCTCGGCAAAACGAACTAGGACAAGAAAAGCTACGTTACGCGCGGTCATTTCTCTTCGTACCTTGGCTGGGCAGTCAGACTCATTATGTCACTTGCAAAGCGCGCTTATGGGAAACCTCGACTGGCACATGAAATGCATGATCTATTTCTCCTTTCTCTCGGAAGGTATCACGCCCTCTAGAACCTTCCCCGATCCGAAGCCTGCCTATTCTTACAGCCTTTTGAAAAAAGGGACATGACGAAACTCCGTGACCCCCCCCTTCCCTCTCGTAACCTCTGGATTTGCCCATCTTAGTTGTATTGCATGTAGCTGGCCGTCGAGTTGAACTTGAGGTTGGCCTTGATGACCTTGTCCACGGCGCTGAGGAAGTCCTTCTCCGTCGCCACCTTTCTCCGGGCGCGGATGGCGAACATACCGGCCTCTGTACAGACGCTGCGAAGCTCGGCACCCGTGGCGTTGGGGCACAGACGCGAGATGAGCTCCCACCGAATGTCCCGCTCAACTGACATACTCTTTGCGTGGATACGCAGAATGTTGGCGCGACCCTCGAGGTCGGGCAGGGAGAACTCAATCTTACGATCGATACGACCGGGTCTCATCAGGGCGGGATCCAGTGTGGAAGGTCTGTTGGTTGCGAACATGACCTTGATGTTGCCACGAGCGTCGAAACCGTCCAGCTGAGTAATGAGCTCCAGCATAGTTCTCTGAACCTCGTTGTCTCCACCAGCACCGTCGTCGAAACGGGCACCACCAATGGCGTCGATTTCGTCAAAGAAGATAATGCAGGCCTTCTTCGTCCGCGCCATCTCGAAAAGCTCGCGCACCATTCTTGCACCCTCACCGACGTACTTCTGGACCAACTCACTGCCGATGACTCGGATGAAGGTAGCGTCTGTTCTGTTGGCGACAGCTCGGGCGCAGAGGGTCTTTCCGGTACCGGGGGGACCGTACAGCAGGGCACCCTTCGGGGGGTCGATACCAAGGTTGACGAACCGCTCTGGCGACAGAAGGGGCATCTCGACGACTTCGCGCAGCTTCTCGACCTGTTCCTTTGAACCACCAACATCTCCGTACGTAACATCAGGCTTCTCCTCAACCGTCATCATCGTAACGCTAGCATCAATCTTGGGTGGCAGCGGCAGAAGAATCTGGTACTTGTTCCTATCGACGCCGACTCGCATACCCTCTTCGATATCCGTAGGGCTCACTCTCTCGCCGAGCTGCACGACGAACTTGGCAATCTGCTTGACGTTGATGACATATTTGCTCTTGGAGTCGTCCTTCTCATCGGGGATGATCTTTGTACACCGGGCGACCTGGAGAGGCTGTTCTTCCGACATGCGTTGCCGGTCTGCTGCTACGTCCCAAAGGTGAGGAGGGGCAAGACCCGTATCGGATTCCTAGTCAAGTCAGACCGAGTTGAATTAGCCAAGGAGGGGCGAGCGCAGCTACCTTGACACCAATCTTCTCGTCTACGCTTGTTTGCTTCTCCTTGATCTGTTGCTCAAGCTTCTTGATGGCAGCACCGTACGGGGCGGCTCCGTAGGTCTTGAGCACTTGGATATCTCTGGGCATTGTTAGTCGACAATGAATCGAAACTTGGACTTGGTGTGGTGACGGACTCATCGGTCAACGGCGTAATCTTCTTCTCTTCGACCTCATCGTCTGCGTAGGTCTTCTGGTATTTCTCCCAGTTCTGGCCGGTAGCGGAAGGCTAATGCTCCAGTTAACACTGCTATCGAGCGAAGTGGACACGCAGGGTCCATACCATGATGTAGGATGAGGACTGGACGTCCTACTGCCGAGTATTATGGTTGGGATGGGTCCGTTGGAGGTTTCGGTTCGGAGGTTTATCGAAATAGAATCGCGGGGTTTGGAGGGAGTGGTCGCGTCGGTCGTCAATGAATACGGTGCTGGGGGGTGGAATCGTGGATGGAGATGGTGATGGAAGACGGTTCCGTAATCCAGGTTGCCTTGAGCTCCAATGCACGGGCCACAAATGCGAGGCTGCTGTGGAGCTAGGCCCGGTGTGGGCAAAATGCAAACAGAACTGACGGCTTAAGGCAGGTAGCGAGATACCTTAAGGTACCGGGGCAGGAACAACCTGACGGCCGCTAAAAAATATCCCACCGCCGCTGGGGGGTTGCTACCTGAGAGAAAGTGGGCGATCGCAAAAGAAGGCGACAGCGGGACAGGCCCACGACGATACCGATACCTTTGCACCCCGTGTTTAGCTTGTCTTCCCGACCCCGAATTCTCGATAACAAGCACAACACAAACCAGATTTTTCAAAATGGCTACCACTGCAGCTGCCCCAGTCGGAGGAGGCTCTGGCAATGCCACTTTCAAGGTACGAACTGCGCGCCCATAGCGAAGCTTCTAGAGGGGGAGCTATTGCTAATACTTCACCTACAGGACAAGGAGAAGCCCGTCGCCGTCCGCTCCTCCAACATTGTTGCTGCGAGAGGTGAGCAAGACAAACAGACCTGCAAGCTTCCTAGATCATCAACTGACTCGACTTGACTACTAGCCGTCGCCGATGCGATCCGAACTTCTCTAGGTCCCCGCGGCATGGACAAGATGATTCGAAGTGGAAAGGGCGAGACGATCATTACCAACGATGGCAACACAATGTTGAAGAGCATGTCCGTCATGCACCCGACAGCAAAGATGTTGGTCAACCTTTCGGCGGCACAGGACGTGGAGGCGGGAGACGGTACAACATCCGTGGTTGTCATTTGCGGTAGCTTGCTTGGTGCCGCCGACAGACTGCTGTCAAAAGGAATCCACCCCTCCGTCATCTCAGAGGCTTTCCAGAGAGCTGCCGCCGCAGCTGTCGAGGTTCTCCACGACATGTCACAACCCATTTCCCTCACCGACACAGCATCCCTGCTCCAGGCAGCCAACACATCTCTCTCCTCCAAGATTGTGTCGCAATACTCCAACATCCTCGGCCCCATGGCTGTCAACTCCGTTGTCAAGACCATCGACCTCAAGACGGCAGACAACGTCGACTTGAAGAACATCAGAATCGTCAAGAAGGTTGGCGGAACCATCGAGGACAGTGAGCTTTCAGATGGCTTGATCTTGACGCAGCCTGTTCTCAAGGGCGCTGGTGGTCCTGCAAGAATCGAGAAGGCCAGAATCGGTCTTATTCAGTTCCAGCTCAGCCCTCCCAAGCCCGATGTAAAGTTACCCCTCAGATACCCCTTTTTGCGGTTGCTGACCAATCCAGATGGAAAACACTATTCAAGTGAACGACTACAGACAGATGGATAAGATTGTCAAGGAGGAGCGTCTCTACCTTCTCAACATGGTCAAGAAGATCAAGAAGGCGAAGTGCAACGTTCTCTTCATCCAGAAGTCCATTCTTCGCGATGCTGTCAACGACCTGTCCCTGCACTTCCTCGCCAAGCTTGGCATTCTTGCCGTTAAGGATATCGAGCGTGATGAGATCGAGTTCATCTGCAAGTCTACCGGCTGCAAGCCCATTGCCGATGTCGACTCCTTTACAGAGGACAAGCTCGGCTCAGCTGATCTTGTCGAGGAGGTTCAGTCTAACGGAGCTCGCATGGTCAAGGTGACCGGCGCCAAGGCCACTGGTAAGACCGTCTCCGTCATCGTTCGCGGCGCCAACTCTCTCATCCTTGACGAGGCTGAGCGCAGTTTGCACGACGCCCACTGCGTTGTTCGCTGCTTGGTGAAGAAGAAGGCTTTGATCGCCGGTGGTGGTGCTGCTGAGATCGAGATCGCGTCTCAGCTCTCCAAGCGCGCCCGTGAGTTGACGGGTACCGAGGCCATTTGCTGGAAGGCATTTGCCGACGCTCTGGAGGTTGTTCCTACTACTCTGGCTGAGAATGCCGGACTCAACAGCATCAAGGTCGTCACCGAGCTTCGTCACAGACACGAGCTCGGTGAGAAGAATGCGGGTGTCAGTATCAAGTCCGGCGGCGTCAACACCAACATTTCCAAGGAGAACGTCCTCCAGCCTTTGTTGGTGAGCACCAGCGCCATCGAGTTGGCCGCGGAGACGGTGAAGATGATCCTCAGAATAGACGACATCGCCCTCACCAGATAAGGAGGGGAATATGAGTCACGAAATCAAAAACAAAAAGTAAAAGGGGAAATCCAGGCTTGATGATCATGTACATTACGGCTACCTGGCTTGATTGCGGTGTAGACGTGGTTGGGCCTGGAATAGAGGCGTCAAAACTATTAGAAGCTGAGAAAGCAATTGATCACACCAGATACCTTGATGACACCTCAACCTAGTCTCATTTGCCTTCTTTGATCACATTGACTTTGAGCCTAGACATTGCCGTGATCAAACTTGCCTTACTCGATATCGCCGATTAGACGTCGATACACTCTGACACCCAGGCCCTCGGCCATGTCAGGCACCGTGTAATGCAACACCCAACACCTAATTCCAACCTTCAGCGATTGTCTGACTTTCCCAAAACCCCACACTCCTCGCTGAATGACAAGTTAACTTGGTATAACACTCCTCAAAGCATATCTACCAAAAACGGCGAACCCAAGGGGCACGACCCGCACTTCAAGATTCTTCCTGTCAACTTCAACTATAGAGGTATAAGGTATCCGATAGGGGCGAACGCCATAATCATGTGTTTCTCATAGTTATAAGCAAAAGGTCTTGATCGGTAAAATATTTGTCATTCTTTCATTCTTAAAGGGACATCCGGCGCCAGAGCCCTCTCAGTTAGGGAGCGGAGAATGCTACTCAACGATGTTGAAAGCATAAAGAAGAAAGATATGACCCATCAGCCGAGAGATAAGAAGAGAAGATGGAGCACACGTCTCTCCCACGGTCCAAACTCAACATCGCCAGCAGGGCAACCATTCCTCGTCCCTCATCTCACCTTGCGAGAAACAGTCCCTAAGGTAGGGCACCATGAAGGCCGTTGCTGGCCGATTTGTGCGTCTCTTACTTCCTCAGAGGCGTGAACTCGTCAGGGATGTCCGCGGCGGAGGTCACATTGGGATCGGCGGCGATAGTAAAGCTAGAGGGGGAAGAAAAGTAGTCAGCAAAATCACTCCGTGCTTGAAGGGGCGATGGAGTTCTAATAAATCCTGCATCTGTTGTTCAAAGGGCAAAGGAGATGATTCATGGAAACGCATACTAGACGGGGGAAAATTCTCGTGTTAGCTGTGTCCATGTTCTTGAGTTTTGAGGTCTCCCAGGGTACCATCATACCAGTCTATCAAGCTTGTCGGCCTCGAGACCAACAAGATCATACTCGGACCCGTCAACAAGCACCAGGGTATCGGGCTCCTGGCTAGACTCGCACTTTTGCTCCTGCGCTTCGCCGCCGACGGCAGCACACGTCTCCTCGCCAGCCTCCTGAGGCGCCCTCTTCCGGTTGACAAAGCCGTAGCCGCCGCCGGTGAAGAGAAACCCGCCGGAGCGCATGCAGACAGACGTGCCGCCGGCCGAGAGTATGGTGGAGCGGCGGTTGCGGCAGTCGCCGCCGTCGTAGCCGCGGGTCTCTATGCGCCAGTTGGACGGGATGTAGCGGAAGAGGACGCTCTCGGCCGTGGCGCCGACGCAGCATCGGTTCGGGTCGATGGCTCTGCAAACGCGGAAGTTGCCGCCGCAATTTTGGCCAAAGTGTTTCTGGATATCAATGGCGGAGACGGCGACAGCGAAGCTGACGATGAGTTTGAAGAAGTGCATTTTGAGAGAGAGAAAAGGGGTTTGGAATTGGGTGTAGTGGGGGTTATGATGGGATGGGATGTGATAAGTTGCTTCTGTGCTGCTTGGTGGCTGAGGATGAAGAGGATACCATGGGATCAGAGCTGGGAACATCATGGACCTTTATAGAATGCGAATACATTCACAATGTGACTCCTATTTGTTTGATGACTATCCTTTTACCTAGTTATCTAGGCATCAAGTGCTACCACACAGCATCGGCATACCAGAGAGACCTACACGAGAATGGCTCTCGAGATGATCTGACAGAACCTCTAGATGTTTCGTTGATTGCTCTGGATTGGACTTGATCTAAATAGGAAAGTATATGTCGTTGTGACTTGAAGCCTAGGCTCTAAACACCTACGATCCTTGCATAGTTCCCGTTTGCCAGCGAGTAAACTTGTTTTTCAACTAGTACCTGAGTTCCTTCTCATCATCGTCAACATAACCAAGGGACTACCTTGTTGAGAGGAAAGACTTGGTATTTAACGGAGTATGCTGCATTTTAGTTCTCAATATTCTGCAGGAAGGTGGATAGATATATGTCCGCCTCACGTCAGACGAGATGTCTCACTTATCACGAAGAGAATAGAGACGATGGACTCTCCGTTCAGTTTTGATGATACCAAACTTTCGAATTCAAGACCCACGTGATGTGTCTCTAAATTGCCAGAAACGACCAAACCAAGAACTTGGCTGTAAGCAGTAGTCGTGCATTCGGACGGTAATGCAACATTAGATTGACAGGCATTTCGAAGCTAGTCGCGGTCCCTCCCGCCGGCCCATCGTTTTCCAAGCGGCTATGAATGTTGTCTCACTATTAGTCGAGCCATCTTCCTGTCGGAGTTGTTCCATCATCTAAACATTGCGTGTGGCTGGGTAGGAAAGGTGGTCATGAAGCCAACATTAAGACAAAATGTACTGGGCAACTCAAAAACTGTTCGCTTTATGGCTTGGCGGCTTCAGCTGTGCCCCACGATACCTCTTACTTCCCGTTCTGGTAATGTCTTCCAAAGAGACTTGGCAGGGGCGGCAAGTCTGCTGTTGTATAACGCAGCGAGCGCGCTGCTTGTTAAATTGGCCTTTCAAAACTTCAAAAGAAGCATAACATCTCAAAATAATCGCCTGTCTACTTGTACAGTCGTAAGCCATCAACGTAGAAAAAACGGTCGAGACGGTGGGAGGCCGGATCATCGGATATCTATTATCAAAGAGACCGTCTCCGCCATGAGAATATAATTCAACAATTCCCGGTAGCCATGGGTAGCCGGACGGGCAAGATTCAGCTCGGTAGTGAAAACGGAGCCTAGACTACAACATAAGGACTAGGTTCATAAATGGCCCGTCCACTTGATGAAACTATGTAAAGATGACTCACGTCAATATACTAGGTTAGGGTGGAAAGATACATGAACATAGAGGCTGAGATTTCCTGGTTAAAGCAGGCCTTGCGCACTTTTGATGTGATAACGAACGCAGATTATTAGGATAAAAAACGAATCTTGTGGCAGAGTGGCTTTGCTTAATGGCTTGATATAGTAGACTAGATTATGTACGGATTTGAAACCTACTTGCTTCTTTCAACATGATATTTCTGGGTTTTAGTTCTCTAAATTACGGTCGCCTTGATATGGTTGGAACTGCTCTTGGGAAAGGCCCCAAAGAAGTCAGCATCAAAGGCTACATCGCGCTCATAAAGCGTATCATGTAACGAGAGCTCAAAGCCAGCCGACGGAGAAAAGATGCGTCCTAGAGTCAAGTAGATTCCCATGTTGGCCACGTCCATACCCACGCAGCTACGGGTCCCGCGGCCGTAGTTGTTGATATACTTGCGGAGGCGTTTTCGCTCACCCAGGTCAAGCCATCGCTTAGGCTGAAATCTGTGCGGATCAGGGAAGATCGTGGGGTCGAGATAGATGTCGTACGTGGACACGGAAACGGTGACGTCCCTGGGGATCACCACATTCCCGTACTGGATCTCATTGTCGGGGTCGGTCCTGGGTAAACGGCCGGCAATGGGGTGGTTCAGGCGGAACGATTCCTGTACGACTGCATTTAGGTAATTCAGCTCCTTGAGCTCCTGGTAGGTCGGAAGTCTGCCAAGCCTCTTTTCGCATTCTGCTAGCTCTTCGCGGAGTTGTGCTAGCTCTTCGGGGTGGCTTAGGAGCATGAACGTCGCAAACGCGATGGCTTGGCCTTCTGTGTCGATGCCCGCGTTGATGCAGAGCCATACCTCGTTCACCACGCGTGTCAACTCCTTTTCATGGGCTGGAAGGTTCGACCTGAGGATGTTCTGGACTGTGGATTTAAACCCATCATCGCCGCCACTACCGCCAGTCTTTTCACTTGTACTTGTGATATTGGTCGTCGCAGCACGATGCTGTTCCGTGACGGCCTGATCGATCAACTACACATGGGCATAACACACTGCATGTCAGATATATGGATGCTTGTGTGTCTGGACCGGCGCTGAGGATGAATGAACGACTTACGTTCCGGAAGCGCAGAACGCGAATCATTCCAGGACTGACTGGCTCTGCGCGTTTGGCCCAGCGCGCCGGAGCTCGCATCACCGCGAAGAACCAGTGCCCGATGTGACGACTGATCATGTTCATACGACCTAGGGTCCTTGCTATATTAAACATGTCTTTCTCAAAGTCCTCGACGTCGACGAACCCAAAATCATAGCCGAGGTTCGTGGTACACGTCAGGTCGATGGCGAGGCATCGAAAAGCATGGCCCACTAGAGATCATAAAATAGAGAACGGGTCAGTAATTGCCAGGAACACACAATAGTTAACCTAGGGGGACTTGGGTGAATGAGAAAGGGGTTTGAATTACAGGTCAACACGGCGCCGGTGCCTTTAGCGGTGCGGAATCTCATAAGTAACCTTTGCACCAACGCCTCGTATAAGTGTTCACGAGACATGATAAGAGGGGTGGCGAACACGGGCAGGATGGCCTCGCGGCGCGTTCGATGTAACTCATGAGGTCTGAGTAAAGATCCGAAGAACAAAGGGTCAGCAAAACGCTAGAAATTGAGGATGAAAGACATCCATGAGGCAGTCTACACTTACCCGGCTTGAAGAACACTATTCGGCGGTCCATTGGATCGATAGTACCACCACGGCCTGGACGTCTTTCTCGAGATTTTGAAAGCCTCGGTGAACTCTGGGTCCCGGATGTGCACTTCCCACGGGTTGATACGGACTATGGGGCCTGATTCAGGAGACAAATTAGCATCTTCAGGTTCAAAAGTTCCCTCTGGATCGGAGGAACACCGTCATCACTTGCCTGATGTATCATGCATGCGATTAATTTCAGCCCAGTATCGACCGCCGCCATCTTTGAAAAAGTCGTAATAGAACTCATAAGCAAATGTGAGGGCTGCCAACTTGGACCCTGGGAAGCGGGCAAGCGGGCTGAAGAACAGCCTGTAGACAGCGATAGAGCCAACATAGGCCGCGGCCAGCAATAGACCTAACATGAACCATGCCATTTCGCACACTGTTCCAAAGTCGTGATGAGAAAGGTATAAAATCAGTCCTGGGACGGATACGACGAAAGGTGCACACAGAATGATTTTGTCACTGTCGGGATGCTCAAACTTGCCTTGAGGTCTAAAATGATGGGGGCTTAAGGTGCTTGTTTCTCCGAGGAGATAACAATGAGAATCGGACATCCAGTTGCCCGCCCACTACTACCTGTGATGTGTGGATAGCCTGGTGTAACATCCTTCACCGCCTGAGATAGAATCATCGCAGGTTTACTCTGAGATACCAGAGGTTAGTTAGACTGACTCTTGGCCGGTTCATACGCATTGAGCGTGAGCTGTCACCGATGCAAGGGCAAAGCTTAGAAATCGCGTGCTCTCAAGTGGCCGTTCCCATAGTTGATTGAGGGACCAGTCAGTGGAGAATCATCTTGGCAGTATTCATACTTGTCTTGAAGGTATACGAGGTATGCATGTGCGGCATTTGTCTAAAGTTTCGAGAAGTGCCACTTCTTGCAGCATGACTCGAGAAATGTTCAGCCTTTGCGGACATTCGATCTTCCAAGTAGGTTGCATTTACGTCGTTGCATAATTTTGGTTCATTCTGCTCCTTCTCCAAGATCTGACGAAGACAAGTAATTCTATCTGAATTTTAAACCTTAAGATACTTTGTCAATTGTGATCATCACCAGCTGAAGCTTATGTGGCACTCCACACTGGGTGAGGTGGTTGGTCAGCGAATTTACAGCATCGCCATGAATGCAACCGAACATAACGGAATGTAACATCGGTACAGGCGGGCGATGCCGAACGGGAAGCACCTTAGTGACTACTAACGGCTTAGGAGACACGGTCCGACGGGAACAACAGGGCATGGTTGCTGTTCTTCATATAACTCGCCTTTGACTTTGACGGGTCCGAAACTTTAATCCAAGACTCTAAACAGTTCATCCAATGGCGATGTCTTGGTAACAGAATCGGGCATCTTCGGACTCAACTGTCTGTTACAGGACTCGATACTGGTCGTCCACATGGCTCTTTTCATGGTCATTGGCCTGTCTGCGATGCATCTGCGTCCAGCACATTGGAGGGGTCTGTCGTCTAAGTTTCAGGAGACTTTGACCTTGCTTGACTCCGATGCGAAGAAGTAATCTAGGCTTCTTCTCTGTCGCCAAGCAAACATAAGTTCCAATGAAGACACGTTTCTACAATCCTACCTAGAGTACTGAAGAGCGGGGAACTCGAAAGCTCCCCGCGGAGACTTCGGCGCCGGACTGACCGCTCTTGCGGGTTAAACGGTGCCGGCGATGAGGCCCCGCTCGTGATGGGGAAACCTCCGTGTAAGCTTTGCTTTGTGGAATACGCAGAGTCGAACTGCATGAGACACATTGTTTGTTGTCACCTGCGGTCACCCTATTCTCAGCTTCTAGAGTGGTGGCAGATGTACTTTGAATCTTGGCGGTTCTGGCTCCCAAGTTCTGAGTGTGAATGATGCCTCCTATATCAGTTATGTTGGTTCTAGTTTCTTAGAATCTCCGCAGTTTGCGTGTGTTATTGAACTTCACAGACACACAAATTTGCCCAACGATTGCATTACCGCACTTTCCGACACTTTGGCGGACTTCATTCCAACTGAAAGCTGCGCTTCTTAGTCGTTTTTCGTACTTTGGTCATCAACCTCGCACCATGGGCCCGCCTCTCACTGAACTCGCCGTCAAGCACGGCACGGACAAGCACAGAGAAGGCAAGGTGTCTGTCACTCGACAGGGCACCACCATGGAAGTCGGCGGGCACCTGTACGCACCGCATTACGACTTCCACTTTGGCCCTTTCCGGCACCGCGAGATCAACGTTCTGGAGATTGGCGTGGGCGGATTTGAAAACCCCAAAGCTGGAGGCGAGTCTCTACGTATGTGGAAAGAGTATTTCCCCAAGGCGCAGGTTGTGAGCCTCGACTACTACGACAAGACGGCGCTGCAAGAGGACCGCATTCGCATCTACCGCGGGAGCCAGGACGATACAGCTCTCCTGAAGAGAATGCACGACGAGTGCGGCGGCTTTGACATCATTGTCGACGACGGCAGCCACCGCTGCGATCATGTCATTGCCTCATTTAGCATTCTATTCCCGCTATTGAGGAGCGGTGGCATTTATGCTGTGGAAGACTTGGAGACGTCATACTGGAAGGTCACTGGTGGTTCCAGCACTGACTTGAACGCGACGACGTCGTCCATGGGGTTCTTCAAGAGTCTGCTCGACGGGCTGAATCACAAGGAGTTCGAGATTCCTGGGTATCAGCCAACGTACTTTGACAAACACATTGTGTCTATGACCTTTTACCACAACCTGGTCATTGTCTACAAGGGCAACAATGACGAAGAGAGCAATGTGATTGTGGACAATCAAATGCCGGAAGCGCTAGCGTCTCTGTATCCAAAGTTTGACTGGTTGAACGCGACTTAATCAGCGTCCCATAAGAACACAATGCTTCATACTCCGTAGTAGACTGAGTCTAATAAAGGCCTATTATGTGTCAGTGCTTTGATTGGAAATGGTGCCGTGTACAATTTTTTGGAATTCGAAGGACGAGCCCTTGTATCTTCTTATGCGGTAGTACGCTTTACTCACTGGGAATACATCATAGTGAAATATATCGCTTACATCTGCTGCATTCCGAGCGCCTCAATCATCACTAAGTTCCCAGGTAGATATTCCAGACCTTTTAATCTGGCTGAGCTGAGGTCTACGGTCAGTCTTGAGCTGACTGAAGGGGGCTTCATGTCGGTGAACCCAAGGCTCCCAGCATATCAGTCGTTCTAAAACCATAAGTATCCCCGCTCACCTCGCACTTAGATATCTGGAGCCTTTAGTTCATCCAGCCTCTTTCCGATCCATATCGCATAACCATTTGCACCCATTGGCCTGCCTCCCAACGTCGCATATCACTCCTCATTGCACAATGACTGCCCCGGAATCTCTTCCTACCACCCACAAAGCACTCAAAGTATCCGGACCTGGACATGTCACCGTGTCCGAGGATGCCCTGGTACCATCAGCAGACCGGCACGAGCTGCTCGTACGCGTGGTGTGTGTCTCGATCAACCAGGTCGATTGCAAGTCTGCCGACTTATCTCCCACGCCCGGCGCAACCAGCGGCACCGATCTCTCTGGCGTCGTGGTCGCTCTAGGCAACGATGTCGACGCAGAGACTTGGCATGTGGGCGATCACATCATGGCCGGCATCTTTGGCAACAACCCTCTTCGGCAGGACAACGGTGCATTTTCCGAATATGCCGTCGTACCCGCCCGCCTGGCCTGGAAAGTCCCAGCCAGCATGGACTTTGCCACCGCCGCCTCTCTGCCTGCCGCCTTGGCTACTGTCGGGTTATCTCTGTTCCAGTACATGCAGATGACGATGCCAGATGCAGCAACAGTCTCTCTGCAGCTCAGGTCGATCAAGGTATCAACAGGAGCAGCACCCGCAAGCCCGGCAACCTACGTACTGGTCTACGGAGGTGGCACGGCAACAGGGGCCATGGCGATCCAGGTCCTCAAGCTGCTTGGCCTCACACCCGTCACGACGTGCTCTGAATCTTCAGCAGCACGCTCCCTGGAGCTCGGCGCCGCCGCGACCTTTGACTATCGTTCGCCCAGCTGCGGCGCCGACGTGCTGAGCTACACGCAGGGAGCTCTCACGCTCGCGCTAGACTGTATCTCGGACTCGGACTCGATGTCGACATGTTACAAGGCCCTGGGTCCCGCCGGAGGTCGCTACGTCGCCTTGGATCCCTTTCCCCTGCGCGGCCACACGCGCCGCAGCGTCAAGCCGGACTGGGTGTGCTGCTACACGCAGTTCGGGCACGATGTGGCCTGGGCCCCGCCGTTCGACCTGGAAGCTCGCGTCAACGACCGGGTCTGCGCCGAGGCGT